TTTCACAACCACATTTCTAATCTCCTTTTAAATTACCTGTTAATTGGACAATATTTACTCTCCATAAAAATACTGACCATAATTCTAGTATCTTCCTTGACTTTTTTAATAGGTGTTGCACAAACAGCATCAGGCTGTTAAGTCTTAAAATTTATTCTTTCTGTTTGTTGGAAAGAACTTATAATGTATATTATAGTTTCTCCTGTACTCTAAGGGTTTCCCAAATTTTCCTTGAGCTGCACAGCTGAACATATCAGCTGAATTTTTTCTGATGCAGCTGTGACTGGCAGCAAGGATTTGCAGGTGAAGGGGCTAGGAGTTCACCTCCCAGAAATGTAGACCTGAAGGGAGTTGCTGGGGCTGGTACCTCTAGGTTAGCCTGAAACTCAGCTGTGTATGTCAGTGGGGAACTACTGCAGTTTTCCACCTGGTAAATTCCCTCAGATCTCTTTGACCACAGTAAATATGACAGGCTGAGCAAGGATGTTTCAACTAGAAGTGTTGATCAACTACTGTCGATGCAGATCTCTAAAGCAGGTTTAATTGTCCAGTGCTGCATTTTTGTTAACTTCAGTCTTGGTGAATGTATCATGGCATCCAAGTCACAGCCTTCTTCATCTGAACAGGTTTTTCGGAGCTCACTTCATCCACCTGACTATCAATCTCGCTTAGACATAGTTCGTGCAAATTCAAAGTCCCCCGTACAAAGAACTGGCTCCTTAAAATCTTCACTGAGGACAGTACAGGTAAGAAAAAATAAATGCTAGATCACTGTATTAAAAGAATGTCTTAAGGTAGAGCCTTAGCTCCATGGACACGTACATGGATGCACTCACTACATTTACTCAGTTCAGGACAGTTCCAAAGATAAAAAAAAACTACTGTGCACCAGGAAAACTGTTTTTCATAGGATGGCTCCCTACTATGAGAAAATCTCTTTAGGGATTATGGTCTTTTTTTAAACATGACTATTTCAGATAATTTTACATAATTTCTGAAAAGGCTATTTAAGTACTCATTATAATCTTTTGTAAATCCCTCTGTTTACTTGGCAATTTTAACTTCAGCATTTCATTTTATTGAAGCAGGGTGGTATGTTGTAATTTAGGCAGAACTACAGCAGAAGCGAACGACCTTTTCCAGATATTTTAAATTAAACTTAACTATGCAAGTTTTATCCACGGGCATTTAATATAGCCAATTGTTTTGCACCTGCCCTCAAAGTATCATTTTAACCATGGCTGAAAATGTCTATATCCAGTGCTCCAACACTGTCTGCTGTGTAAGACATGAGAAGGGAACTGGCATGCTTTTTGTAGTAGCACACAGTGAAACATGCAGCTTAACTTAAGCAAGGACAGTCACCACCTATGTGCAAACTTAGAGAATTCATTTTCACATGACATTTTGAGCAACAAATTCTCAGATTCCATTACATTTTTTAATTATTTTTTTTCAGCATTAAGTAATCAAAAATTGAATTTTCATGTACCTGTATGTTCTAGCTTTATGGCAAAATAACATGAATTAATTTCCTTTCTCACTTTATCCTTACTCTCATCCTTTTTTGGCTCTTATGTTTAGCTATCTGACTACCACCTCACGGCCACCAGTGTTAATATTTAATTTACTATTGAGTTAATTACAGCATGGTCAGAGGTACTTGGGTAGCAAGCAGAAAAAAAACCTTGAAGCCAACATAGCACCTCCTATTTCAGAAATAGGACTGAAGTTCTTCTTAAGAATTTTAGATGCTCTTAACTAGAAAAAACTTGGAAAATGAGTCTATCCAGTGCAATGAAGCTACCTTTAACAGGCTCAATCTGCAGCATTCCTTGATCTCCAATTACAAATCAGTATCATTGTCTTTTTCTTCTTTCACAGAGTGAAACAGTGCTGTTTTAGGCATTTAGATTCAAGTTAACCCAGCTTCATCCAATTATTAACTCCATTTTCTGTTATATTCAGAGATTTGTAAGCAAGCACTTACTTCAAGCTAAATTATGTACTTTGTGAGCATCAACAAGACTAACGATTTTTCTGCTTTCATTAGTTCAATGATTGCAGTTTGCTTTATGCATGCACAAAAAAACTTTTGTTACATACATAGCTGTGTGAATTATGAGATCTCAGAAGTCAATTTAATAACCAGCATTTAAGGACTTTTAAAATAGGGGGTTGGTTAAAAAAAAAAAAGGAAGTTTTGTCTTCAATACTGAATCTTTATTATATCACTGGGTATAAGAGAACTCAGAAAATATAACCAAAATTAGAGCTGCAGATGCCCTTAGAGAACTGCTGAACCTAAAATCATTTTTCAAAAGCTTTGCAGATGACTTGGATAACTATCTTTTAATTTAGTGCTTCTTTTCTCATGGGGATAGAAAAAAATATGTATTCTACTTTAAATTTTAAATGTTGCATCTTCTGTGAATAATCTATTTTCAATAGGAATAAGATTGAGCCGTCATTAGAAAAAAGTATAGATTGCAGAATCTGTCAGATGAGATGAGAGCTTGGCAGCTGGCACTTGTTTTTAACATTTGATGAACCAAAAAAGGATCATTCTGAAGGGCAAGCACTGATGGGCAGGGAAAGAAGTTCATACATGAATCAAGACTCTTCTAGTAAACTTTGAATAATTTATTCCCAAAACCATCTTAGAGCAGCATACTGCTGATTTTTTCACTTCACTGAAGAGGTTTGATGTCTTCCAGATAAAATTACATCTTAATAGTCATCTTCAGCCTGCTGCCTCACCAGGCAACTTGGAAAAAACCTGACTTACAGCTTGTTCATTTTTAACATTAATTTGATCAACACATAGTTTTCCCTTCCCTATAACAGGGCTCAGGATTATGGGGATTTTCTTAGTTTTAAAAACTCGTTACTGTACTTACATTCTGTGCCTTGTATCTTTCTGTTGGCATTGTGCGTATTACTAGAAGTTGAAGGGTTAAAGGATAAACTACTTACCCCACACACACACACACAAAGGAACAACCCTCAAGTACTTAGACTAGGAATGCTAACAGAAATGTTTTTCTTTTAGGAGAACGAACAGTTGATTTACTTTTGTTGGATTTTTGTTTTGGCAGATTTCCAGTATGCTGAGAAAAGAGGAAGAAGAAGAGGAGGAAGAGGAAGATGAAGAGGAGGAAGATGACGAAGAGGATGAATTAGATGCTCCAAAAGAAGTGAGATAACAAAACTGTTCTAAAAGTCTTTTTTTTGATTGGGAAAAAAATATTTCCCTTTATATAAAGTCTTTGTGTGTTAATCAAAAACTTCACTGAGGCTGCATTTTTAAAGTTCCAGCAGAAGAACTGGCACTAATAGTAGTTCCAATTTCAAATAATGGAACAAAATCTGCTGAAAATCAACAATTTCAGTAGCTAGAAAATGAAGTATTTAAGTAGAATCCTGTATTATACTTGCATAAATGTTATACCGCAGTCACATTTGCTAAGACTTACATGATGAATGTTGTGCAAAACCTGCACTAAGCTGACAAGCAGTTCTGAACATAAGGGTTTGCTCATTACTTTGCCAATATATTACCTTACTCTCTAGCTGCACACCTCTTGGATTTAGTAAGTCTTCTAGCTATACCTATCAGAATTGGTTTATGTGTCCTGAAGCAACTGTAGTACTCACCAAACTCATGACAGCAATAACCGTGTTAGTGGGTAGCCAAATGAAATCTTTGGACAGCAGAAGACAGGGTGAGGTCTGCTGTTTTCTCATTCTATCTTCAGGCTTGACTAAGATGACTTTTGATTCCTTTACACATACAGAATGAACGTTCACCAAGAAGGACCTAGCCCGGTATCTACGTTGAATGCTGCTTTGCTTTTAAATAAAAGTGCCTTTATAATAAAACTAATTGATATTTTATATAATTGATATTTATCAGTTGACATGCTATATACGGTTCAAGTTTCATGTGTTTAACTGCTTGATTCAGTTACCGATTAAACACACAAGAAATTACACATTTTGAGTGTAATTTCTTACCCTGTTTGGAAATAGTGGTTCTGCATGTTCATTTCTGAACAGCATACAACTGTCTGCCAGAAAGCTGCTACTGTATTGTTTATCTCTGGCTTCAGCATCCGCTGAGGAAAGAACACATGTATAAATCTGGAATTTAAACCTGTAACTGGGAAAACAATCTTTTAAGTTATAACCAAATACAGAAATAAATGAGGGAGTGCATTTTAAATATTGAGGCTGCCTTTGTCAACTTATGCAAAGTATGCAATGCATACTTGTTCTGACAGGTCAAAAAACAGGTTTTGCCAAAAAATAGTGTGATGAAAATACAAGTAAAGATTTCACAATATAGGATTGTTTTAAACTCAGAAAACGGTTTTACACCAAAATTACATACTGGTGACAAGGAGTAGAACACTAATGATCAGGAACTTTAATCCAGGTAACTAATTCCCCTCTATTTCTGTAAGTAGGGCACTTCAATAAATATCTGTATCACATCAGAATTATGATGATCATCACTTTACCACTTAATATTCAGTGAAGTCATGTAGTCCATCTCCAAAACTGGTGGTTAATTCCATGACTATACCAAGTTTTCATATCATATATATATATATATATATATATATATATATGCAAATAGCAATTATTTTTGTACTATGCCATGAAAAAGGAATTTGGGGGGGAAGGAAGCAGTGTTTAGTTTAATTTCCACTAAAAGATTAGCAGCTGGGGTACAGAAAGTTGTTTTTTTTCCTCAGCAGCTTCACATTCTTTCTCCTCCCCTACCTCACAAAAATCAACTTTAGGAATTACAGAACTTACAGCAAGGAAGAAGTACAGGTTGGGCAACTTTGTCCTGCATATATAAGGTTGTAGGTTTAAATGTTGGACAGAAATTGTGTGGCCTCCAAACTATAGATTAACAAGCCACTGACTGAAGTATTTTAAAGCCAGAAAAATTTAGAATGTAATTACAGCATCAAGTATTACCTAAGATACTCATGGCATGAGTGTTTACTGCAAGACTGACAGTAATCCATTTGCTCATATGTATTTTTGACTACTGACACCTACATGATGTAGGCTTGTATCCATTCTTGTTAAGAATATTTTGCCATTCTGGTCCATCCCTTTGGGACTAGGATTATATACTTGTACTCATCAGGTTATCCTATGTTACAGCTTTCCTGAAGGCCTCAAAGCTGCTTCTGTACATGATCACTATTACTAGTGTTTGACAATGGAGATTGTCCTCCTTTATATCGCACTTTTTGGACAGACAATGGTAGCAAAAGCAACTTCAGAGTGTTACTAAGGAAACTAGCTGTATTTTACATCAGTACCACAAACTGCAGCATTGCATTTGTTACTCTTTTTACTATAATGGATGGTACTTAAAAATGAAAAGCAGTAATTCAAGCCATGTCACTGCAGACTCTTATTTGTGCTTTATACTTAAAAGTACAGCGCCTCCAAGCCATTAAACATCCAAAGGTATAAAACCCTATTATCATGCAATGCAATGCTGTCACCACACCATGCACCTGTACCACCAGTTTAGGCAGAATCAGAATATGATGCCCACATATACATATGGAGGGGAAGATGGGGAGGAGGGAAGAATGGGAACAGGACTGGGACAGCCCAAAACTAGCAAGATAACACCTATAAAATGAGCAACAACTGTACTATTCATTATTTAGCTGATGTGCAGGCATCCCTTCCCCATTTCTCTATGCTTTAGACCATCAGTGCATACTTTGCACCACAGCTTTTTGTCTTAGAGACTTTTTTTAAAAAAAACTACTTCTTTGGCCTCATCTGGCTTTAAATTAAAGGCAAATAATCTATAGGGGAAAAAAATCATTTTAAAATACCTTCATTGTAATCTCTGCCATTATAAGCTTTATGACTATGTATTCACTAAGGGTAGAAGTTTACATCGCCCAGACTAATGGCATCTTATCAGCAATTACTCTTTTTTGAGGATAGATAACGCTTTTTCTAAAATAGTATCTCGCACTTAGCTGGGAAAAATCCCACTGAACTCCTGTATCTTTCCAGTATCTAAATCCTTCTACAGTTGTGTACAACTCTAGAAGCACAGAAAAAGTTTACCTTATTACTTTCAGTGCTTGAAATCTGCTCTTCAGTAGCTAGAACTTTGAAAACCAACAAATCATCTAACACTGATTCACTGCAAAAATTAGTTTCATTCACATTTACAACATGGCTGATAATAGGCAAGAATTAGTAGTGAAGATTATGTTAGCCTACAAAGATAACCAAGATGAAGTTTTCAACAGCATGCTTAGCTCAGACAAGGTTTTTGAGTATTCTCATGAAATACCTTTATATTCCTGCAATGTCTTCTGGCTCCTTGATCTCTTTTATAGCTGCTATGAAATAAAAGCACCAGTTTGCTGGGGTTTGTTTTAATCCATTTAAATTCAGAGGAGAATTCAGAACAGTAAGCTTCTGAAGCTAATTCCTACCAGACAGCAACAAAAGGTATGCAGATGTTCAGAATTTTAAAATTTGGCCACATTTAAGTTTCTTTGCTCAGAGATAGAGATATACAGACCTCGCATTATCATTCTCATTCAAAATGCTTTTTCTTGATTTTATTTACTTCTACTTCAAGTAGTTTATATAGAAACTTAGTAATAATGATGATTTTACATAAAGTAATTAAGGTGATCAGTTACTGATTGATAGTTACTGGAACAGGCAGCCCAGTCTCTATCCTTAAAAGCTAATAAAAATCCGACTGACAAGGCCATGAATAACCTGTTCTAGTTGACACTGCTTTGAGAAAGGTGTTGGACATGGGATCTCCAGGTCCAGGTCCCAACCTCAACCACTCTACAAATTGTTTCAGTATTGCCTGAGCAAAGGTTAAAACAACTTTTCATCACCAAGTTGCAACTTCGTTGTTTTACTTTAAGAGGGGACTAAAACTTCCTAGAATTCTTTAGTACTTTTCAAGTACTATCTTATATGGTTGTCAACTAAGTCCTTATCCACACAACCAGTTTCCTACTAAACTTGAATTTTGAAGATGCAGTTTCTCCTCACACAGGCTTTTATTTCTTCCTAAAATTTAAATATGCTGGTACCAAAGTAGTAGGAGCATTCTAAGCGTTGACATAAGTAAGTATTTGTTTTCTTATGTAAGAAAATAAGGTAGTTGGCTGTCAGCAGGGTTGCCAGTGAGAGATGTTAGTTAAAACTAGTAAGAGATTGACCTGGAATGCATCTAGAAATCATCAGCAAGTTAATATTATGAACACGTGGAGATAAAACAGACACCACTGAAGTCAGAATTCTTGATCCAATTCCAAAATTAATTTTCTGCCTCAAGGAACTACAGTGAGTGAAGAGGACAAGAAAGCCTATCCAACTGATTACTACAGGTTTTGTTATCAAACTACCTGTTCAGCGGTGTGTTGACAAACTGTAAGAGTTCACTCTTTCCAGATGAGAGAGCCAGCATCATTCTCACCAAGGCTCACGTGTAATGAGCATAATAGTTAAGATCATTACCTACACAACTTTTAAATATAAGACACACATTTAATGGCAATTTCTGGTTTTATTAAAAAAAAAGTTGCAAAGCCAGCTAATGTGAACAGGAAGCTCTTTTGTCTTTTTTTAACAGGAATGCCTGCAAACACATGAAACCGAACAAAACCTCACCAGTTTATACCAAAAAAAAAAGAAATAAAAAAGAAGTATTTTTTTTAATTCCATAAAGCTAACCTCAGTAAGACGTGTTAGTTACTAATGCAGGTAGCACTGGAGTTGTTTGAACTGTTGATTGATCAATGAACCAGCACTTACATTTTTATTTGATGCAATGTAATGGGACATGGAATTAAAGCAAACTGGGGAAAAAAAAAACAAACAGAAAAATAATAAAAACAAAAAAAAACCAAAACATTACAACTCCATGCCTTTATACCTTGGTGTAAGACATTCAATGTCCTCATGAATTTCCGGGCTCTCTGCTACAAGTAGGCACAATACATTTCTCGTATCTTACCATACAAATATTTCAACCAAGAGCTGAACAACTGAACTAGATATTTACAACCATTCATAGAAACCATTTTCTGCATCTTCCGGTAATTAAAAAAAAAAAGTTAAAATAACTGTCAATACTGTCAAATCTAGAAAGTCTTACTCTAGAGAATCTTTTCCTGCTTTACAGCAAGCTCAACTTAACTTTCCGTTGACCAATCGGCCTATCATTCAGTTCATTAATAGCAGCCATAGCTTCCTCATAATTTGTCATAGCAACAATGGCATCACCCGAAGGTAATCCTTGTTCATTGTACTGTACAGAAACTGATTCCGGGATCACTCTGTAGCCATAGAAAAAATCCAGAATCTCATTAGGAGTAGCTTTAAAAGGTAAATTTTTCAACCGAATAGGAACAACATGCTCAGAACCACCACTAAAATTTGGATCTGGCATAAATCTTCCTTCGGGAAAACCTCCCATTTTATTATTCCCAAACTCCATTCTGCCAAAAGGTTCACTGTCACCACCAAAATCCATGAGGGGTGGCGGACCTCTAAAATCCTTAGGAGGGCACATGAAGTCCTCAGGGGGATGCCTAAATTCAGAAGGATGCCTGAAGTTTCCAGGGGGACCAAATGAATGCATAGGTGGCCCTTGTGGTGGCCCAGACGGTGAGCCAACTGGACCTCTGTCATACGGACGCGAATTACCCTGCATTTCATTTGGTGCAGACAACGGTACACTTACACCAAACTTCTGCATCTGGTCTTCAGATATAAGTCTTATTAATACCTCTGTTCCCAAGAATCTCCGACGATTTAAGTTTTCTGCTTTCATGGCTTGTTCTTCAGATTTAAACTTCACTAATGCTTCTCCCAGCCCAACTCCTTTGTCATCATAGAGCAAGTAAATATCATCTTCATCAATATCAAATCTCTCAAAGAACTTTTGTACTTCAATTTTTGACACATCAAATGGAAAATTCCTTACATAAATACATGTCTTAGGGCCGGAATGACCTTCCCGGTAACTTTTTTCTGGTATGGCCTGTCCAAGATGATCTCTGTCCTGTGATCTTTTCCTCTCACAAGAGTCAATTATTTTCAACATTGACTTTCTTGAAATTGGAAAAATGTAAACAGGACGATTGAGAAGAACCCTTCTGTGACATTCCAAAGCAGCCTGATAATCTCTCTCACTCCTTAACATCACAAAGGCATCCCTAGTCCTTCTCTGATGCTTATCTGTTAGAAGCTTGATCTGTTGGCTGCATATATCCAGGTCAGGAAAAAAATCTCTCAAATCTCTTTTCTCCACATTAGTAGATAGATTTCTTAAGTGTATGTAATATTCCTGGTTGGGAGATGAACGGGAACGTGTTCTTTGTCTCCTTGGTGATCGTGAATGAGAATGCTTCCTTGAATGCATGTAGCCTGAACTTCTTGGAGAATGGTCTTCACAGAAAAAGTCATCGATTTCATCTGGCATATCCACCCTCCCACCATATTCAATCCACCGTTCCTCTGTAGATGGGCTAATTTCTATGAACCTCTGACCCATGTACTGTCTGTGACGTTTAAGTCCTTCTAAGGCATCACCTGGCGTAGCGAATCTCACCAAGCAATCGCCATTGTTTAAACCATTGCGATGCTTTATCATAATCACTCCGTCCACATGTAGCCCAGAAAGGAAAGCACGTACTTCATCTTCTGTTGCAGAGTAGGGTATACCACGTAGAAATAAGTAAAGATCATCTGGGTTAAATGGATGACATGCCTTTCTTGACTGATAGTTTGATTTAGGCATACCTATATTACCATGCCTTGCACCATTGGCATGGAAACCAGCCTCCGGATGATTTGGGGGACCATAGCCAGGTTTATTCATTCCTTTGGGAAAAGGCGTGACTAAATGTGGCATGTCTCCAACACCAGCACCAGAACCGTTAGTACCTGTTCTTCTAGAGCCAGCCATATTTTCTCGTCCCCCACGGTCAAATCGTTTCCGGCTCATTTCTATGGTATTCTGCATCTCTGCCTTGCTGCTGAGAAACAGCTCTATGCGCGAGTCCTTGATAAACCCTCCTGAACAGCTCATGGCACGCCGTGCATCTTCATCTGTTGCAAATATAATAAAAGCCTCCCCAATCTCTCCTCCAATAATATGCACACCTCCATCAGGAATATTCAATCCCAAGAAGAAACGACGAATATCTGCAGGACCCGCAACAATAGGAAGCCCCTGTAAACGGATGACTACAGCCATGCTGAGCTCAACCCACAGCAAAAATCACCTGCAGACAAAAAGGTACACATGATAGCACGTCTTTAGTACTCAGCTATTACAGTATCTTAACACTTAAGAAGCTAGAGCCTTTTTAATGAATGTCCTTGTCTCAATCGAGAGAGAAGGTATCAAAAAACCCACAAGGTCACAAAACCAAGATTAAAACAAGATTCACTGAAAGTTCATTAGTCAGAACAATTAGCTGCTCCACCAGCACATGTGCACAACTCTATCAATATTCCCTATCCTAGGGGCAACAAAATCCACCTAAGTCACTCCTCACCGTCCAAGATACCTACAGAACACCTGAAGTCTTTCCTGGCATAGTTACTGTATGCTAGAAATCTCTGCCCAGTCCTAAGGAACAAAAAAAAACCTGTTTATTTTTAAACAGGATGCTTGTGATCGTAACACAGAAAATACTAGATGATAAAAGGAGAAAGAAAAAGAGTAACTGTATCACTGGAAAATGAAGTAATTCACCAACAGTGATGACTTTACTGCTTCGACAAATTGTTCTACCCAGTGATCAATTCTGATCAATAACGTATGTTTTCTCTGCATTCAAAAATGTTGCCTTTTTCAGGTAGTCAGAGTATTAACTGCAGCAGCCACATGTACTCAGGAGAGCATATCCTAGCTCCCAGCCACAAGTGCAAGAAAAAAAGGCTGAGTACGATCTTGTCACAATACTCAGTGAGAAGTGTTAAGCTTTTGGCAGCTTACCTGTTTCTGCTTTGAAGACCTGATAAATTCTGTAAAATCAACTTAACTGTGGAAAGAAAATGAAACATAATTAATGGCTGATATCTGTACTTTGCTTCATATACTGTGCTACACTGCTGCAGCTCATCCTTAACAATGGCTAATATTAAAGCCAAGCATGTAATGAACCCACAATCTGGGATACTACGAAGAACTTCTTCCATGTCCCAAGATGCTACGCACTGCATCTTTGCGTTTCCAGTTTAGAAGCAAAAAAAAAAAAAATAAATCACAACTTTAGTTGACTTCTGGAAATGGTGAGAGCACGATGAGATTACTTGGTCATCACTGTGCACACTGAACTGTTGAAATGAAACAGACTGACAGTATATTGAGGGAAAAACTCTCAATTCAGTTCTTTCCGGTCCTTGAAAAATGTGTGAAGTCCACCTCAAGGTTACAGGAAGTGTCCATTCTTCTGAAATCCGCCCGCTTTCAAAGTTCACAAGAGTATGCTACTCACCAGCCCAGCACTGCACTTAAAGGACACAGTAGAGACAATCAAATGAAAAAAAAAAAAAAAAATATCCAACATGAAGAAACTTCAGGGAGCACTTCGACTGCAAAGCAAATTTCAGTATTTTCTCTATATGTTTACTGCCTTTCAAACATAAGAACAAGAATCAGTTTGATAACACCAACTTAAACCTATCCTGATTTTCACCATTATCTAACACCACACAACACATAGCTCCGCACTCTCAAACACAAGCTTCTGTGCCAAATGATTACATCCCTTTAAAAAAAAAACAAACAACACCGAAACACCAAGATTCCAATACTCTAACAACTGTTTGTCACTATCCAGTGTACAAACTCCCTGCTCAATAACAAATGTAAAGCACCAGATCCCGATCTACTGATAACAGTAACTATCACTCCATCTATGTGTTTAGCAAAACAAGAGCAAATCCCAACTTCAGTAACTAATGAATTCTACATCACTTCTACATCAGCACTTTGTAAGCACAACAAACTGAAAAAAAAACCTGCCCACTTAGTAACTTCACTGAAGATCATCTGTTCTATTTCTGTGGCGGGTTGACCCCAGCCAACAACCGAGCACCCACACAGCCAACTGTTCGCTCCTTATCCCCACCAGTGGGATGGGGAAGAAAACAGAAGAACAAAGTCAAGAAAACTTGTGGGTCCAGATGAAGACACTTTATATTCAGTGAAGATGATTAAAAATAAAGCAAAGGAAATCACTCTTCACCTCTTCACAGGCTGAGTGAGGTTCACCCTGCCTCAAATAACAAGCACCTTGGAAGTCAATAAAAGTCTCCCACAGAAAAACGCAAAATGATCAAACAAAAACCTTCTTCCTCTACCTCAGTTTTTGTTACTGAGCATATTACATGGTACAGAATATCCCTGTGGTCAGTTTGGGTCAGCTGTCCTGGCTGTGTCCCCTCCCAGCATACTTGCCACGGTGGCAGAGTAGGGAAAAAAGCAAGCCTTCACACTGTGGATGCACTGTTCAGCTATAGCAAAAGCAACGATGTGTGGCCAACACTTAGACACAAATCCAAACCACAGAACCATATGGGCCACTATGAAGACCGTTAACTCCATCCCAGCCAGACCCAGTACATGTTATAATGTTATCTTCTCAACAGATGTGACGACAATGCCAGAAAGCAAGGAGAATTCAGGGGCCGAATTTTCTTACAGGACCTTCGTGTCTTGAAAAATCAAATCCGCTGCCCTGCTACTTCATGATGTATTTAATCTGTAGTATTTCTGAATTTCATCACTCTGCATACTTATCCCAATTTTTAAGCAGCATTCGGAACGGATCTCAGTATTTCTTCCATGATAAACAGCAAGTTCTCCACGACGTGCCAAGGATGAAACATACAACCTTCAGTAGTGAAAACTAGACACAGCGATTCCAGATCACGATGCAATATTTAAGAAGTCCACAAAGAGAAATGCCAGTTCAAATAAGAAGCTTTTTCTGACTGTATACTAACGATCAAGCATTGGTAGAAGGTACAGACAAACCATCCAAGAATTTAAAGTGAATTTAAAAAATTAAATAAGAGTAACTTTTGGGTTGAAAGTGCCACACAAAACTAAGCCCAATTCATGAACTCTGCAAGGGCCTCAAAGACCAGGAATTTAAATTATAAGTAATTGACAACTTCATGCCACCAATTTAAAAGCACAGAAGTGTGCACATTAAGAAATCTTGTATTTTAACCGAATTAACTAGAAAACAGAACTATGCCTATACCTCTACATCCTCAGCAAATTCAAAATAAAACTTCACTAGAAAAAAACTGCAGCTTGTAAATCACTGTAGGAAACTAAGCCTGCACTAGACTAGTGTTTTTACCGTGACGTTGAGATTACACAGCCTGCATGCAGTCAATATGCAAACTACAACACTCACAGAATTACCCCAACCGTACAGCTGAACCAATATAACCGGGGGATCAGAGAACGAATTATTATCTTAAACCTCTTCAAATAAGCCTTAATAGTCGAAGTGAGCTGCTGCTACCGAGTTTTCACATCGCTGAAGGAAGATGCGTGTGACCTCCGCCTCAGGGCCCACTACACGGCCGGCGTGAGCAGGGCCCGCTCCGAGCGCTGCGAGCTAGAGAAATCCAGCGAGACGCCCGCAGTGGCCCCTACACCGCTCCAGCCACAGGCGGCGTCGCACAAGCCCAGAAGGGCCGAGGTGGTCGAAGCCCAGGGCCGCGGGTGGCGAATGGGTAACAGGCAGTGAGGGGAAAAGGGTGGGGGGCAGGCCGCCACGCGTGCCCTGGCCCGCCAGCAGCCACCTGTGGTCCGACCCCGCGGAGAAGCTCGGCCTCGCCTCGGTCCCGGGACAGGGCTTACGGAAGGAAAGGTGGTGGGCAGCCAGGCGACATGAAGAGGCCCCGGGAACGATAGCGCAGCGGTTCCACGAGGGTTACGCTGCTCAGAATAGGCTCAGGGCGCGACCCCCACGCCCCTGGTTACACGCACCGTCCCAGGAAACCGGGCGCTCTCCCTCACGCCATCCACCCACCGGACACGCCACCAGGACAGGCTCTGCGCCGAGCCCCGCGGCCCGCAGTCCCCGGCACAGCACCACCAAGATGGCGTCCTCCGCCGCCCCCCACAGCACTCTGAGACGAGGCTGACCCGCGCCTGCGCCGGGCCCGGGCCCGCCCCCTCCCCTTACGGTTGGACCCGCACTAGCGCTTCCGTACCCTCGCGCAACCCTAAGCGCGCATGCTCCGAGCACGCAAGACTACCAACCGCCGCTGGGAGGCGGTGCGCAAAACAGATACCTCGTGACTCTCGCTTCTGCCTCTACGCATGCGCAGCCGAGCGCCCGCGGCATTTTAATACACGTGTGCGCCCTTATGGCGTGCCGGTGGGGTTGGTGCCGTGTAGGTTGTGGGCATGAGCGCTCAGAGGTGGGTTCCACAGCGATCGTCTGAAACAGGGGTTTATCTAGGGGATGGCATCCCTTCCATCACCGCCGTTTTGGTGTGTGAAGAGGTGTCCTTGGCTTCTCTTTTCCATTAGTGAAGGAGGACCAATGGTGTAAGGCCATGTTCAGAGAAGGGAAATTACTTTGGTTGCACAACTGCAGCGGAGGTAGTTATTTTATCTTGGCGCTTACCCCACCTGCCTCTCCCTTTTAGGTATTTTCCCTGTATTTGTGTGTTTATACTGTACTTGTCTGCTCCATTTCAGATACACAAGTCTGTATGATAGGTTTGTAAGCTAAAAGGCTAAATTTTTAAATTGGGACTGCTGTGTTGAGAGTAAGGTGTTAATTTGTAAACTGGACCGCTTTGTTAGCAGCAAGATGAGCCAGGGTAGCCTTGGGAGTATGTATAAAACAAGGGTAGCTTGTGAAGATAAGAAAGGAATGACCAAGGCAGATGGGCCGGTTCCTCAAGATGAGGAGCAAATTAGAACTACCCTAAAACACAGACACAATCGTGAAGTAATTCACAAGAGTCTTCACATGGGCAAGCACAGAGCTCAATCAGGGCAAGACTATCTAAGGCCATCAGAGACCCACTGAGACCACCGCTTGGCAAGAAAAGTGCATGTGTAATTAAAATGCAAATATTACAGTTAGTTCCACTAAATCCAATGTAATACATTTCCCGTAAAGGTTGTAAATACGCATAAGTTTGTTGGATGCTGCTTGTAGATTCCAGGTGCGTTCACCTTTGCAAAATGATTCTCATGTGCGCCCAGCGCTGCAATAAAGAATGCCTGCTTTGTAAAACTCTAGATTAAGTCTTAAGAGTTTCTTAGACGGTCTTTTGCGGTAACAAATTCACCTAGTAACTCAGCCTTTAAAAACTCATTGAACCCCGCAAAAGAAATCCCATGAGGAATAACACATTTGACATGATGCATAGCGGCTTCCAAGCAATGCTAGTAGAGAAAATCGTAATAGGCGGTTCACACAGAGGAAAGTGGCTGTAAGGGATTAATTAAAACCCAGGATGTTAAGTGCTCTGCAAGGTTTTGGTAATACTTGAGGGAATGTGAACAGGAGCATCTTGGCAGGTAAGAAAGGCAACGGAATAACTTACGCTGCGCACCCGTTCTTCAAGGTATTCTGTGTGTTTGCCCTGTTACCAGTTTCCTCTCGGCAGGGGAAAATAACACGCACACGTTACGTTTGTATGGAGCACCATCTAACAGGTTTAGAGATGAGGCACCAGAAAGCACAAACCAGACCTCTGGTCTTCCCCTGACTTCTTTCCTCCGATCTCGTCCACCTCCACCAGTCAGACACGCTCCTCTGCCCCACGCTTCCTTGCTCTGAGCTGCTGGAGTGTCTCTAACCAACACTCGAACTCCTCCGCGGAGCCTGTGCCCTCCTCGTCCCGCCCACCCTCCGCCCCTCCCGGCCGCGTCGCCTTCCCCCGCCGCCCGTCGTACTATCGGCGGCCGGCCGAGGCGCGCTGTGGTAGCTATGGCGACGCCGTGGCGCTGGGCCGCCGCCACCGCCGCGCTGCTCCTGGCCGTGTCGGCCGCGTTGCCGCCCGTCCGCGGCTTCTCCCTCCCGCTGCAGCGACCCGCGGACTGCGGCGGCGACCGCTACTTCGACATCTCCCGCCTGGCCTGCGCTCCCTGCGGAGCCCACCAGCGACCGAGCGCCGGAGGTGAGCCACCCGGGACGGGGGGAGGCCGGGCTGCCCGGGCCCGGGGGCTGCGCGGGGCCCTGCGCCGAAACCCACCCTCCGGCAGCGGGAGGTGCCGAATCGGGGCTCGGGGTTTAGCGGTAAAACAGCCGTCCTCGGGGCAACGCTGAAAACGCAGCGAAAGGGCCAGGAGCCCGCCAAGACATAAGTGGCCGCACCACAACTTTGGTTCCTGTGTCCGAGAGAGGTCCCAGAGAAGCGTCTGTCTTTTTATAGAGATACGTCCCAGAGAAACGTATTTTTAATAATGTCTCGTTCCTCAGGCATTTGTACAGTTATAGGTATTCACATTTTTATGAGCAAAATTCCATAGGGAGCTTCCATGACTTTAAACTCCTTGACAAAGCTTGAATGTCTGAGATGTTAAGTGTCTAAGATTTTCAGGCTTTGCACATACTAATCCAAGTCCCATGTTTAGAGCATTATACAACACACCTTGACAGTAGTAAATGAAAAGTACAAGTGATAGTTCACTTTCTGTAAGAGAGAAAATGGTATGCTAGTGTCTGTCTTTTATAAATACACAGCCCGGAAGAACTGGAAGTTCAGTATTATGTGTACAGAAACAAATTTGAGGCAAAGAGCCAACAGCACCTCTCTTCAGAACTGGTATGTCAGTCATGCGCTGCTCTGGATGGCTGTTAACCGCTGCGGTGTAAAAGCTGGTCACCTCGTGCACCACCATTGTGGCGCTTTAGAAGAGTAAACCTTTGCAGAAAAAAATGCACTGTAATAGTTTTCAGACCTGCTGATAATGTGAGTGTCAAGATCCAGAAATCCCTTTTAGACTTGACTCTAACTAGAGAGGATGGTTTGACAGTGTGGCAGGATTTAGGGGGGCAGGTTATATCTCCTATTAGAGCAACTGATAAAATTTAGTTTTTAAAAACCCACAAAAAAACAAGCTCTGTTCCACCCTGGTTTACAAGTCAACCTAATATTGTTCTCCTAAAACATCTCTGTACACACTGTAACATGAACATTTTTCTTAAAGCAAGATGATTTTCATTCACATCTCACGTGTTTTATTCATCCATCTGATAATTTGTATTGATCTCTTGAGCACAATAGCAGTTGTTCTTAGTATTCTCTGGAAAAACAAAAAAAAAAGTTTTATATAGATTAAAAATGTGTTTGTTTGTCGGATTTTTTTTCAGGTAGTTCATGTGTATGTCAGCCAGGATACAGGATGGTTTCTAGTAATGGGGGGTCCTCTGTTGTTTGTGAAAAATGCCCAGAAAATATGGTAAGTGTTAAACTTTTAGTACTTTGCCATAATGATAATGCTTTTATAATTTTAAATTTCCTCCTGACTGCAAGTTATTTTTATGATTTAAAATTACTTTACACATTAGTCTTTGCTTGGGAGTTTTAAAGACCATGCTTTTAGGTAGTTTTTTTTTCTTCTTTAGAAGTGTTTATTGCTATTGTAATGCACTTTTTTCATATAAATTTGGCCCCCACAGGCAAGGTAAGAGTATTTTAAATGTTTAATTTACCTCCACTGCTTTTCTGCTTCATGTTATGTTATTCTTGTCCAGGGAACACTGTTTTATAGAAAGCCAAAGATGCTTTTCAGCTCCTAGGCATCTTACTTGATTATTTTCATAAATCCTATTATCATAATACTTATAGACCCCGATACTTTATCTTTTTACTTCAAAATGAGCTGCTACTATTATGTTACTTTCATTACTTCTATCTTTGTAGTTTGGACAGTTCTTTCTACTTTTCTTGGCAAATCAGACTGTAATTTTCGATTATATTCACAGCATTGAGACAGTGGCACCAGGCTTAACCGGCTTTTTCCACTATAGTAAATAAATATTTTTTCTCCAGCAATAAACAACTTTTCAAGGTGAAAGCCTTCCTGGTAACTTCTTTCTCTCCAGTAACTATAGAAGAAATCTGAAAGAGACCATCTTAGTTGTGTAAGTTAGGTGTTTAGTGTGTAATGGAAGTTAATTTCTCTCTTCTTTCCATATTCCTGCTATGTTAGACAAAGACATTGACAAAATACATTGGCTTTTTGATCATTCTGCTGTTTCTTCCATGTAATGGTGGCATTTATCTTTGATCCTATGGGAAGCCATTTGCAAAGATAAAATTATATTCGTGGAGAAGGGAATAACATCAGTGTCACCTGAAGATGAGCAGTTATCTCCATTTTCCTCATTGGTTTTAATCTGTAGTGCAGCTACTTCATAGTGTAAAGTAAGTGTGGATGTTTGGGTACGTGCAAAATTCCATGCAGTTATATAAGCTGCTTCTCTTAAAACCCCTCCATTTCCATTACTTCTGTATATTTATGTGCAGATACTCTATTTATACATTGTTATGTTTATTGACATTTTTTCCCAGTGTAGAACCTCTGTATCTTTCTTTTTAAAACTTCTACTTTTAATCAACTCTTATCTTGACTAGAGGGTGTTAGCTCATAGGTTCAGAGAATCTTGACACTTTTTATTTTAGCCTATGTCTGCATAGGAATGACTTTTGCCAGGTTGTTCAGCCTTTTTTATTCTTTAAAAGCTTTGTGAATATTACTGCTGCTGTTGTATCTGAACACATTTTCTAGTTAATAACAGCTGGACCAGCCGTTCTTCACAGGTATTGGGTGATGTGTGTATTTTTGAAAAATATAATAGTTTTACATTTTATTTTAGACTGGAGTTACTCAAGATGGTTGGAATTGTATTACTTGCCCTAAAGGTCTAACTTCAGAAGGAACATGTAAATGCCCCCGTAATGAAATACTAGGTAAGAAATATATGCAAGTTATATTTGTGCTTGTTTTAGATATTTCAAAGGAAATTTAACATATGTTTACATATCTAGTGTAAAGATTCAACATTCCTTTTGATCTTAAACCTCATTCCTGAAAGACAGCAGATAAATCTGTACCATTGCTCATTGCAATAAAAACTGTTATGCAAACATTCAAAAAATAAATACTAATGTATTACTTCCTTTAAGCTTGTTGGCACTAGGTGGAGGCATTAAAATTGGAATAAAACCAATGTCAATATAGACTAAGAAAAAACATTGAAATATTTTGAAGTATTTAATACATAGGTACGTTGCAGTACAGGAATTATATGAGTAGGTGGAACAGAATAGCCAGAGCAAGTCAAGCAAACTATTGTGCAATAATTAGTGGATTTCATGCCTCCCTGAGATACAGGCATGTATTTCTGATTTCCTGCAATCTGCTTCCCTGTGTCTGTGCCTCTTTCTTCATGATCCCTAATAGTTGCAGGTGAATTTAGTAGACACAGAAAATTAATTTTAATATTAACTTTAGTGTCTGCATTAACTAAATTTTTGCTTATCTAGAACAGTAAAAACCTAACAGCAAAGTATAATTTTCATCAAGGGTGTGAAGCAGATAAGCTCTTGGAAGGTCTAGTTTTCCTTATTTTCAAAGACACAGTATGGAAAAGGCTTTCTGTGTGCCTGTAAGTTTTTGAATAAGTATTACTAATGTCCACTTTGGTTACATTTCTGACAGAGTGTACTGCAGAATCACTGTTTTCCAGATCATTAAAAGAGTGAATACCAGTCATTTCCCTTAAGCTTTCAAGACATTATGGTAAAATAGTGAGAGCTGATTCTGTAATTTAACATGCAGAAAGAACATTCGTATTGTAATTATTTTGTGGTTTTGTTGGGTTTTTTGGTAGTTTTTTTTTAATAATTAGACTGGAAATCTCTTGCCAAATGATTTAATTGCTGGAAGATCCCATTTTGAAACTTTGAATTTGTGACATTTGCATGAATAATTTCTGATGAATATTAAATTTTTTTTTTTTTTCCCAGTGATTTGTAAACTTGACATTTGAGTTTTAGCTTTGCAGTGAAGCCTTGGTTTGATATTTGGTTCAGAATAAATAAAAAAGAACAGCATAACTGGACATGAAATACTGCTTTCCTCATTGAAACTAAATTGGATATGCATAGCTATAAGCAATGCACCTATGCATACATGAACGTGCATTTATAGTAGATGTTATTTGCAACTTGCGCTCTTTTTTTTAATAAGCTCTTTGCATTTATTTTAGATCTGCATAGACACGTTTTCAAACTTTTCCTAATGTCTATGGCATACTGTGTGTCATGCAGTTTTATCACAGTTGAGTTTATTTTCCACCTAGTGGAAAGAAGTATCGATGGCATTTTGCTTGATGAAGCATTGTGCTTACATTGTAATGGAAGTGAGCAATCCTTCTCCGCTTCAGATGCCTCAGGAAATAGGTGAGTATCTTTTGCCTTTTGTGATGATACATTAGAGCAGTTTTGTTCTTTTTAAATGAGTATTATTGAGGAAAAGCCTATATCGTTAGGTTTAAAAGCAGTGAATTTGAAATCCTCAAGCCTCAAACAGTATCCTTTGTGTTCACTGATGACCAGCGGTTTGGTTAGTTGGTTTTGCTTTAGTGTGACTAAAAAGATTTGGATTGAAACAGCAGAAAGAGAATTCTTATTTGGTAATTAATTATTTCATTTCTATTTCACTGACAGAAGAAATAAATCAGTTATGTCTTCTGGATTTCAGTTTGAACTAGTGAAGATGCTGACGCGGTGTTTTGAGGCATACTATGTAATCAGCTATCACTAAGTAGTAAATCTCATACTTAACTAGATTTTAAGTGCATGCTTCATGTTTGTGATCCATAGGTGTGTAAGATGTGAACAAACATTCATCAATGCAAACAAGTCTTGTGACTGCAGCAGCCCAAACATTTTAGTAAGTGGAAGAATGCTTATTGTGTAAAGCTCAGAAAAACAAGTTATGTTGACAAGAATCTAGATTTCCGTTATTTTTTTACATTTTTTTTTTAGACTGGTGGGCTGTGTTTCAGTGCTGGTGAAACCTTACGCCCAAAGGCAGTTGCAACTGTTCGTTTTGCACAGCTGGTAAGTGTGTTTACTCTAAACGTTTTGAAGCTATCCCATTATTTTCTTTCAGTAAGCCTTCTACATTCAGTTCTTGAAGGTGGTGATTTGTTGTCTGATCACGGTGATTTCAAGGTAGCTTGCATCTGGATAGAGTATAGACTTGTAGACCAGGCAAGTATTATTCTAATGAAATATGTTTAAGAAAATTCATGCCCTCTGGAAAATTGAAAAGGTGAAGTAATTTACATGAATTTAATATCAAAAAACAGTATCATATGATCCATTGTATGATATGTATTTAAAACACACTCTTGTATCAGAAAAACAGGAGGTTTTTTTCTTTCTCCTTTTTTTTAATATGTAAAATGGGTATTCATGTAAAATATGTGGAAGAAGATACAGGAATTGAAAGGACATTTTTAGTTTTCAGACAGATAGAGCTGATAGAAGAAAATGGAGACATGCAGTTTGCGATTGTGTTTGAAATTTTGACCACCTTGGATTGGCTAATGGGTGGAAATATGTTCTGTTGAGAAGAATGAAGGTGTTTTCTTTGTTTTAGCTAATGAACTTCTATTAGTTGTCGGATCTTCTCACAGGACCGTTTTCCAAGTAGTTCTGAACTGAGGAAATGCTATGTGGCTAATAAATGTAGTTTGTTCTTAACTGAATTAATGTTAAAGACTAGTGCTTGAAACAAAGCAAAAGGCAGTCTTGCACTTTCCTGATAGCAAATGTTGGTTTGGCTTTCTGAAAATGCCATCTTCTAAATAATGTTTTATTGAAAAAATGTCTTTTCATTTGCTCACTGTATGTACAAAAGCCATGTTTTGTTCAAATATGAGTAGTTACAAAAAACAGGCTGTGAAATAATAAATTTGGCAAATTTGGCCCTGAGTTAAATTTACCACCAAGTCAACACCTTATCCTTGAAACCGTCGGTACTTCCCTTGTGTAGTAAAGAAACCTCCTTCAAATGTTAAATATTTCTGCTCTTTTTCTATATATTTTGCCTGATTCAGTGATGTGAAAGAAGTTACTACATTATGGCTGTGTTTTGAACAGAGCTGATTTGATTGAGATATTTACAAACAATAGAAAGCTCTTTGAAAAAATAAGTAGTATCTTTTAGCTGGCACAGTTTTCCAGACTGTTATGTTATGGATATATTGTTCTGAACACAGAAAATGAAGCAATTCCTTATTTACAGGGTATAACACTGACATCAGCATGGTTTCTGGAAAACCTGCAGTCCTCAGCCTCTGCCTGTTGGGTGAGTTTCGTCAATGTTTGCTGTTTGCTTTTTTATACAGAAGTCATGCTCTGTATAAAAGAATGACACTTTAATTTTTGGAACTTAGCTTACCTATTTTTAAAGACTCTTATTTTGAGATGACAGTAGATGAGAAAGAAGTAAATATACAAAATGTTTAGAATGAATACTGAGTGCTAGTCAGTGTTAATGCAAGTCTTCAGGGTTGGAATCTTCATAAGGTGAATGGTGCTAAAGAAGAAATCCTGCAATAGTCAGTAGGTATGTGAGCTGTCATTGGGTCTACCCAGTAAGGGGTCACTCAGAAAATTAACTTCTTACATATTCATTGTTGATTGGCAGCTGGTCTTTACCTCTTTCTTGGCTTTCCATTAGTTATTTTGGTTTGTGATGGAAAAGGGTAACCATACAACCATCCTTTCCAGCTTTTCTTTGCTTTTTTGTATGCAAATGTTTCTTATCGTTATGTTCCTCTGGGTGGTGGTAAGCAGGGGTTAGAAGAGTGGTTGCAGCAACAGATTCATGCACACTTGTGAAGAAGATATGCCTCACTCTGCCTCCTTTTTGCGATCTGTTACCACACATGCTTATTTTTTCATCTGTATTCCCCTCCTCAGAATCAGATTTTAACTTCTCCGGCCTTACCTTTCCTCCCAGTACATCATGACTCAAAGGGTTACATGTCCTACAGGTGTATAAGGATCACAACAGTGGATTTGCAGAATTCCATGGTACACAAGCAGACATAGTCCTTATTTCCTACATTTCATTATTACAGATTACTACAAATTATTAGTAGTAAAGTAAGAATACTTACAATTAATAAAGCAGGGTATTTATGTATTCGAATGGGAGCAGCAATCAGTAGTAGCAGCAAGCATATATTTCAACATTACAAGTTACCACAAAAGTATTGTTAGTAAAGCAGCGAATACACTTATGATCAATTAGCTATATGTGTGCCTACATATATATATTATTCAAAGTAGTACCAGTACATTGCTTACTAATCCACTCCCAGGAGTGGGGCCTTAAAATCAATGACAGATGAAGTCTTACTTCAAAGGTGATTTGTGTTGCAGAGTCTGCAGTCAGCCAGGCATCCCCAGCAATGGTCTGATAAACTGCCTAGAGTTTATCAGGCAGTGATAAACTTTATCATAGAACAGTTTGTGTAGGCAGCATTCTTTGTATATGTGTGTTTGTGCAAGTGAGATGGGGACAGATTCACTCTCCATTTTGGGTAAAAAGTAAGTGATTTTTATATTGCTGAGACATAAGGTGGTGTAGGACAGCACTACCTGGGTAGCTGATGTTTTATGTTCTCTCAAACCAGTTGTCCTGCGTTCAGCAGTAGCAGTCATGTTTCTCCTTTGTGGTAGCTGGTGCAGTGCTGTGTTTTGACTTCCAGCCTGGGAGCAGTGCTGGTGATACCGATGCTAAGTGATGTTTACCCTGACCAAGGACTTTGTGAGGCTCATGCTCTGCTAGGGAAGAGGGGAAGCTGTGAGGAAGCAGAGATGGGGCGCCTGACCCAGGCTAGCCAAGGAGGTATTCCATACCGCAGCACATCATGCCCGGGGTGGGGGGTAACTGGGAGTTACCCAGAAGGACACGGGCTTCTGGGTGGGACTCGTTTCTTGGCAGGTGGTATTGTATTCTCTTCCCTTGTTATTTTCTCTTATCATTGTTGTCATTGGTGGTAGCAGTGGTGATTTGTGTTGTACATTGGTTGCTGGACTGTTCTTGTCTCAACCCGTAGGACGTAGGAGTTGCACTCTTTCGATCCTCCTCCCTGTTCCTCCGGGAGCGGGGAAGGGGAGAGCCCCGGGGGGGGCTCGGTTGCTCTCAGCCCAGCACCGCTCAGTGGGAGTGAGTGAACAAGCTGTCTGGCTAGGGTTTAAACCACGACAGTTCTTTTGGTGCCCAGCGTGGGGCTCGAGGGTTGAGATAATGACAGATCTGTCCAGATTAATAGTCACTTGTCACAATGCTGATTTATTGGCTCTCAAGGTTGTTCCTCTTGATCTCACAGTTTCAGTATATCGTATCTTAACTTCCATCCGGTATTTGCTGTATTAGTGTTTTTCAAGTGTGGGGCTTGGGCTAAGGTTTTTGTCTCATTGTACTTTATGGTAATGACTTGTAATACAATAGAATCATTGATCATGAAGCTGATCTGGCTTATGTTCCCAGTGTGGTCACCACCTTTATACTTTGGGAGGTATATAATAGAAGTGCTTAGCAATTACACATTTTTTTTCTCCTTCTCAGGTGCTCAACCTGTGAAGGAGACATCCTTTTACGCTCCCAGTCCTCCCCCCAGACCATTTACATTTGAGAGTTTTGAAATTTTTGAATGGCCTTCTAATGCTGTTGAGACTTGTTTGCTGATGGTGATGGGAATCACCATGCTAGCACGCATACAGAGTGTGTTTTGCCCACGACTGATTTCAAGAGTTAAGCAGAGTCAGGTTTGGGTCTTGTCTGGGGTCCAACGACGATGTAGGAGGACCAAGAGATTTTCCCTGAGGCTGGACAGCCATGAGTGGCAGGGTGTGTGGGATAGTATGGGCAAGTATCTAGGTCAGTGGGCCCCTCCAGTACTTTGGAATTTCACTACCGAACAACTGCAAAATCCAGACAAATTAGTAAAACACTTAAATGAGGTGTGTGGTCATTCTGGCCATACCAGAGATGGACAAATCATGGCAACGTGCTGGGCCTTGTTCAACACTATCCAGCACCTTCAAAAGGAAAAGAATGTCGGTGGATCTGAGAGCAAAGCAACAGTCAGCGCAGCTACTCCAGCTCCAGACACAGCAGCTTCACCACCCCCAGTGACAAGTACAGTTGCTACTCAAAATTTGGCTGCAATGAACAGCGCAGTTACCCCAGCGGCAAGTACAGCAGCTGCTCAAACTTCGACTGCAACAGACAGCTCAGTTACCCCAGCTCCAAGCACAGCAGCTACACCACCCCCAGCAACAAGTACAGTCGCTACTCAAACCACAGTAATAATCACTGCAGCCAAACCAGAGGACCAATTCGTACCAATATCAGTTGCCCCTGTACACAAGAGAACAAGCAAAAAATAGGCAAGAAGGGTGAAGCAAGATGAAGAAACAATGAATTCACCACGCGCTCTAGCATCTGATCAGGAGTCATCATCACATGATGAAGAAGAAGAAGAAGAGGTAACTTCTCAACCTCGGACCTCAACCAAGAATATGCGAAAAGATTTTACCCGTCAACCAGGGGAGCACATCATCACCTGGTTACTCCGATGCTGGGACAGTGGGGCCGATGGTCACGAACTAGAAGGTACAGAAGCCAAGCAGCTGGGATCACTTGCTAGAGAAGGGGGAATCGATAAAACAATTGCAAGAGCTAAAAAGTCCCTCAGTCTTTGGAGGTGGCTCTTGGCAGCTGTGAAAGAAAGGTTTCCATACAAGGACGACGTTATGAGTCGTATCGGCCAAGTGGACTACTATAGACAAAGGCATCCAGTCTCTGAGGGAATCAGCCATTGTAGAGATGATCTATCACATCAAGCCGAATAACGGGGATACACCCATAGATCCAGATGAAGTTGAATGTACACGACCCATGTGGCAAAAACTTACACAGAATGCACCGTCATCATATGCCCATTCATTGGCAACAGTGACCTGGAATGACATAGTACCACTAACAGTGGATGAAATGGTTCATAAACTCTGAGAGTTCGAAGACAATCTCGCCCCTTCCATCATCTCAGCTGTGGAAAAACTGTCCCAGGACCTCAAACAATTGAGGGACGATCTATCTGATTTATCCAGCTCCTCACGTGTACAAACACACGTCTCAGCTATTAACAAAAGGCATCCTGTTGTTCAAGAGAGGAGATACAGGAGGTATACCCCACGGGGTACCCTATGGTTTTACTTGCGGGATCAAGGAGAAGACATGACAAAGTGGGATGGAAAACCTACTTCAGCTTTGGAGGAACGGGTGAGTGAACTGAAGAGGGGAGCCAAGACTGATCGTCCCATGAGAGCTACGGCTTCAGTCTCTGGTGAGCAGTTTCCCAGATGGAGTGGAAGAGCTGATTTTACTCCAGCTCCTGTGATAACGAAGAATAATCCCTTTTACCAAAGTGTCCAAAGCTGTGACGACCATTAGAGGGGCCCTGCCTCCAGCCAGGTGGACGTAGGGGGCAATCAGATTTACTGGACTGTGTGGATCAGATGGCCTGGCACATCAGTCCCACAGAAGTATAAGGCTCTAGTAGATACCAGTGCACAGTGTACCCTGATGCCATCAAGCTGTCAAGGGGTGGAACCCATCTATATTTCTGGAGTGACAGGAGGATCCCAAGAGTTGACTCTGCCGGAGGCTGAAATCAGGCTGACTGGGAGGGAATGGCAAAAGCACCCTATTGTGACTGGTCCAGAGGCTCCACGCATCCTCGGCATAGACTACCTCAAGGGAGGGTACTTCAAAGACCGAAAAGGGTACCGGTGGGCTTTTGGTATTGCTGCTTTGGAGACTGAGGAAATTGAGTAGCTGTCCACCTTGCCTGGTCTCTCAGAAGATCCCTTTTTTCCAGACTATTTTTCACCTTTCCAGCTGATAAGTTGCTGTTACAGTTAATTATTTTTGTGCTGATCAGTGGTATCTCAGGATGTCTCTGATGTTTAGGTACCCAGCTGCACTTCCCAAGGAGGTTTCTGATTCCCAGGCATAGTTCCAAGGCTAGCAGTTCCCAGACAGCAGGCATTCTCTCCGTCAGTATTTCAGCAGACTTCTGTTCAGTATTTTCACTGATCACTTTTGTGGCTGCTCCCATCACCGTCATACAAACACAGCTCTGAGGTTTTCTCCTACTTATCTCGTTCTCTTTTACAAACTGAGACTATCCTCATCACTTACATGAGTTTATCCTGTTTGTCTCCCTCAGCCTGCTGAGGTCTTCAGGGATGCTGGCTGAAAGTAATGTGCAACTGCTGATCATACCCACAGAAGGCAGTAGGTGGTGGCAAGTTAATACTAGTGCAGTGATAGCTGCACACAGATGCCAGGCCTCACTTTTGCCTATCACATAGCAGTGTTTGTTTACCAGAACTGAAGAGTGGTATAAGTACAACATAGTTTAGGAAGAGCAGACTGGAAAAAGTACTAAAACTGGAAATAAGATACTTACAATACATGCAACTACAGTTGTCAGTCTTTGATGGAGTCATCTTTTTCATAAAGCCTAAGTGGTATTAAACATTTTGATTCATACTTTGTTTTCTAAATGCACTGATTCCATGCCACCATTCGCAGACCTATAAAATACGGAGCCTGAATAGCTGGGAGAAAATATTAGGTGTTGACAAAAAGGAATTACTTTCAAGTAAAAATGAAGGTTTAGGAATGGCTTATTAAAAATAACATCAATTTTATGACTGCATCACTGAAAGAAGGGTTAAATAAATACTTTTCTGTGTTCTTGTGTTTTTCCATTGCAGTTGTACTCTAACCTAACAGCATGCCAAGCTCTCGGAAATATGTGTGTGATGAACATGAACTCACTGGGTTATTCAAGTACTGATGCCTGTGGTTTATTTCAGTATATTTATGTCAATACAGCAAGACTGGGCGTTGCTCATTCAATAGCCTTCTGGTAAGTGGCTTTTGCCATAACTTTTGGTCTTTAATAGTATTTTATGGAAATTATCATTCTAAATGTTCTTTGATGTGAAACATCATGTTTCTTCAGAGAAAACATTGTAATTCTTTTCAGGAGGCATAATCTTCCATGGCTGTATTATGGGGATCGACCAGGATTAGCAACCCAAGTGCTTGAGGCAAACAATTTCCCTACAATCTTCAGTTTTAAAGGAACAGATAAGGTAGGTGTTGGGTAGTAGACATAGGGAAGGTGACATTAGGAAGAGGATATAATCACATAAAGAGGTTTAGATTTGTTACAGATGTGGCTCTACAAAAGGTAATTTTTAGGCAGTTAGTGTAACAGAACTCAGTGTGAGATATTATGGAAGAGGAAGGCAATATTTATGTGAAAAATCTGTAGGTGAGGTGATTTTACTGACTTGCACTCGTTCACTCACACATTTGCTTTGCTCACGCTCTCATACCCACATTCACATAATGCCAAGAAGAACATTTCAATTAAAAAATATTATGGTTAAAAATAATAAATACAAATTAATAAAAATATTACTGTTGCAAATCTCTACAAGCTAAGTTGTATCAGAGATGGATTCAGTCTATTATTCCAGCCTTTTCCTCCTCCTACAGTGAATTAGGTGGAAAAAAAGAAAAGAAAAAAAGGAAAAAGAGATGAGGAAAAACAATCATTTCAATGTTAACAAAGTCGGTATCCATCCCTTAGAGGGATGAACTGCTTAAGTAGCTTGTTAACTGGCACAGTTTTAAGAAGGAATAAAACAGTAAATCAAATAGTTACATGTTTTATTTTACAGATTTGTTGTAAAAAATAGAATAATTGGGATGATTTATTCAAGTTAAACTAACCACAGAAAGTAAGTAGTCTAGTGATAACCTGTTTGCCAGTTACACCTCCAAATTTATCTTGTTTTCTTAGTGTCTCAAAAATAAAATAGTAAGGCTTTTTTTAGCCACATTCTTAAAAGGTTGTGTTTTAAATTAAACAGTATTGCAACGCAGCAGTTGTTTTAGCAACTAAAATACTTATTGTTCTTCCTAACACTGAAATTCCTGGAAGCCCTCAAGATCCCAGCCTGGAATACATTGGAAGTGTGCATAGATTTCTGATTAGTTTAGGGCATATCTATCTTTGTAGACGTTCCTTTGGGACTTTTTCCATGTCACCAGTGAAACTGTAGAAGAATGGTGAAGTATGGTTTTTTTTAAAAAACAAACCACCAAAACTGAGATTAAAAACATAAAATCAAAGGAGGAAAAAAATGCAGCATTTCGCTGAAAGTTTTAGGGAAGCCTCAAATGATGAGGCAACAGTCCCTAACATATTTATGTCTGCTTTATGGCAGTTTCATTATTTATCATTTTTCATCATCAGGATGTAAAGCTGCAATTTATTGCAGCCTCATTTGATGCTGCAGGAAACTTTCTTAAATGGCAAAGTTTGGAAGGAGGCATCTTACAGGTATGTTTGATTTAAATTGTCTTTTGTTGATACCATAACATTCTGATTGCCTTTAGCCAAACTGAGACAAAAGCCAAGATTTTGGTTACTACAGTAATGACAGTTCATAACTATAGAGCTAGAATAGCCCTTGATTCTTGCTCACAATGATCTTTATAAAATCAAAAGTATAAATTCAGCAATATTTCCTTCATCTATTGGACCAATATAAATTTGGCAGATTGAAAAGCTCTGAAAAACATCACTAGTCTTTAGAACTAAAAATCTCTTTCTTCCATTCAGTATACAGTTACCCATGTATTATTACTCCTCCTTTTCTTGTGGAAAAAAGTGTACTTTAGTTCCCAGTCCACAGGTGTTTGTAGATGATACTATGAGTATGTCCCTATTAGATGCTGCCAGCTGTTTTCACACATTATGGGCATGCCAAGCAAATCAATGGTTATGTCACTGTCAAGAGAGGTAGGAAAACTGTCTACCACCCATTTTCTTTCAGTTCTCTTGGAATATTTTGTTTGCTAATTTCTTTCAGTTTTTTATATAAAATGAACACTTTGGGCAGCATCTGCCTGGCTTTTTCATAACAAAAAGTTATAAAAGCTTGCTGGGATGCTTTATGTAGAGTGGTGAACACTAACTAAAAAATTCAAAGTACCTTTGGACATTCTGCTTTCATTTCAGTGGTACACACACATTGTACTTCAGCAGTATCATGCTATATAGATAGCGTGTGAAAAATGCAAATAAGCAAGTAGAAGGTGTAGTAGATTAATAGCAGAAATTGGCAGCTGCAAACGTGTTACAGAGAAGAATTTGTTCAGCAGTCCAGTGGCAATCTGGGCACTGTCAGTAATTCCCTTAAGCAGGCAACAACAGGAACACTAGCAAGAACAATTGGAAATTGTCTGTCCTCTTTTCTAGGCTCTTCATGTCACTCTTTGAGCGTGTCACTTTAAATGCTCCAGTATCTACAGATGAGCAGCTGACATTCAGGATTTAGATAATGACTGCTGTTTCTTTTGTGGTTGTCCCAGGATGAATTCTCCCTTATCTGCCTCTCAAATTTTAAGGGAAGATAGTGCCTGAGCAAAAAGATTACTAAGCCAGTTACTGTGCATAGAAAACTACATATTCTGACATAGATTTTAAGGTTTCTTGGGACACATTTATTTCCTGAAAGCAGACCATTTAGTAGCTATCAAAAATCAATGGGAAATGAATAGCTTTTCCATTTAAGACTTATTGATAAGACATCACAGTGCTAAAGCAATCTGCATAATTGTAGCAATTCCCAGAATTTCAGTTGCACACTAACAGAATTGTGGTTTATGTAAATTTTGACTTGATTTTCATTTGGGGAAGCTGGCTATGCCCTCCACTAAGTGCCATGCCCATTTAGTTAAAATTTGGCCCATTTTTCTGGGCTCTGCTTAGAACAACTTGTTCTTTTCAGAAAATGTAAAAGTTATGTTGAAAAAGGAAAAAAAAACTGCAAACTACTAATTGTCATGATAACTTTGGTCCTCTGAGAATGTCAGCTCTAGAAAAAGGGGACAATATGAAGGTGGAGTTCTGTTTTCATGTGATTCTTAGCTTTAGCAGAAGTCACTGATAAAGCTTGAGGCAGCACAGTGCATTGAACATTCTTGTAGGGTTGGGTGCTGCTCTCCACAGATCTCAACTTCAGTGATAGAACTGAAAAACACTCTGCAAGTATTTATAAGCTAAAGCAGCATTTTAAGAACACCAGTGTTAGTACAATCAAGAATTGCATTTACTCTTCAAGATTAATCCCTCTCTTCTTAAAAAAAGTAGAACAAAATATCTTTTTTCACAGTGAGAACTGTGAATACATTAACTGGTTGGGCTACATGTAAATACTTTTCATGCAAGAAAATACCTTTGATTTAACCTAATCATAATTATGTTTTGTGCAGCTTTGTCCTGATACGCAAACTAAATTGAATGCAGCTTATGCATTTGGAACAACTTACCAACAAAGTGTAAGTAAGAGATAAAATGCTATTCTGAATTTTGAATGAAGTTTTTTTTTATACATCATCAGTAATTCAGTGGCTATTGAAGGACCTCTGGAGCTTAGCCATAAGCTGCAACATGGATTTCTTCCTCGTGAAACTGTTGCTTATTTTAATTTATTATTGACTGAAATAAATGTAGTTTTAAAAAATTATTTAAGTGTACATCATAAAACGTGTTTACTGCATAAGATAATCAAAATTAATTGAACTGGCATTTGTGTTAGTGAGCTTGTGTATACTTAGATGCTAAATTCAGTCAGCCATAGACGTGGTTCTGACAATCTGTCTGGGCAACCTGCACCACTGCTTGGTGACACTAACAGTGAAAAAGTGTTTCCTGATGCTTAGAGGGAGCCTTCTGTTTCAGTTTGTGCCTGCTGCCTCTGATCCTGTCACTGGGCCCCTCCCTTCTAGTATTTGTAAACATTGATAAGTTCTGCCCTGAGCTTTCTCATCTCCAGGCTGAACCATCCCAGCTCTCTGAGCCTTTCTTCATAGGGTTGATGCTCCAGTTCCTTCATCATCTAAATGGCCTGTGCTGGACTGTATCAAGTATCTCCGTTTCTCTCTTGTACTGGTGAGCCCAGAACCAGACACATTACTGTGCAACTCCAGTGTTCATGCTTCTTGACTTCTGTGTTTATGCTGTTTCAAATTTTATGTCTGTGAAAGAGCTTCCTTCTCAGCATCAGTCATTCTGGTCTTTCCGATAATTTCCAAGGGGTTTGTATAAAATCATTAGGATATTGTAATTACTTGCAAATAGCTGGAATGCCTCGTCTTTTGTGAAGAAGTGGGACAGATTGCGCAATGATCTTGAAGGACAAGAATCCACAACTTGAGAAAATCTTTAAATGGCTAAAGTGGTATTTTTATTTTAATGTTTGTTTCTTACAGTGCAAAATTTCAGTGTCCAAGATTTTATTGGATTTTGCTAATCCAGTTTTTTATGACTTATTCCTTGAATATAATGGTGACAATGGACAACAATATCTTTGGGACGTGCCAGTTTTAAATTTGAATCTTCAGGACAGTGAAATATTTGTTAATCAAGGTAAGACTGTCATAGTAACATTTTGTGAATTCAAATAACTTTTGACTAACTTCAAATAGAAAGAATTTGTATTAATTACTGTTAGTTGTTTAAAAGATGCCACAACACATCATCATAACTTGTTTCTGTTTTAAGAACTTAATATTTTGTGGGCAGGTTTTCATGCTGTTAAGTGCAAACTTTGCTTGCATACACCAGCCCAGTCAATTGATTTCATTATGTATTTGTTTAAGTTGGAAGTAAGTAATTTTACATCCTGGATACAGTTAGATGTATTATACAGTTATATGTATCCTTTCTAGTAGATTTCATTCTCTTTGTGTGTTGAATTAGTTGCTTACATATTATGGGACTGTTGTGGTTTTTTAAAGGCAGTAATATGAACAGCTGGCTTCTGACTCGTCGATTTTTTTTGGTGGATGCGCTAAGTGGAAAAGAGAATGATTTGGAAAAACTACCAAGAGTACTTCGGATTGCTAGTAAAATAACAATAAGGTGATTAGTTGCATATAATACATAGTACATAGAAAATACAGTAGATCTTGTGCAGTCTGCATTTTATTGTCATAAAAGAAAGTTGTTTTATTATGTTATTTCTAATATGTCCTGTGTTGCTTTTTCCATTGTATACTTGGAAATAGCAAGAGTTTCCATCGGTTGTTCTAATGAGTGGGTTAGCAAACACAGCATTGACTTGTGGGGTTTAAAATTACTGTGATTACTTTCCAGGTATGATGGATCACTGTATGTATGCATAATGCAAGGTAGCAGGCATTCATTCATCTGGAAAGACCTAAAAACTCCTGTTAATTCTTTTTCAATGTGTATGTTGCTGACTCTATGAGGATGCTGCTTCATACTCTATATTGGTTTTTTGCAGTATTTTTACAAACTGTTGCATATTCTGTTATACAATCCAGAATAGGCTTCAGAGAAGTCCTTTAACTGAAACTGTGAGACTACCTTCTAGGATCATTACTGATGGTTAATCTCTGCTGGAATATGTTTTGGAAGAATCTTTTTTTCTCCTTCTTTATGTAATGTCTTTTTCTAAGATGGCAGTTTTAAAAATTGAGCTCTCTGTTTTTCTTTAGCTCTTCTTCACAACTTATTAGTTAAAAAGATGGCTGAGTAGCACAGAGTATTGATCCATACAAGTAACCATCTTGAAGATTAATTTAATGTGCCAACTGCATTTGCTAAGAATTACATACTACATTATTTAAAAAAAATAAGGATTGCTTATGTATCTTAGGAGAACACCCTTCCATCTCACCCCTTTGAAAAAATCAACAGGCACATAGGAAAGGTCATTCTGTAGTGTTTTGAGAAAAATTACCTTTTGGAATTGACTTTAGTTGTGGCTGTTGTAATGTGAGCAGTAGGTAAAGATTGATTCAGGTATTTTCTTACAAATAAATAATGTTCCTGAGTTTTTTCTTTTTATGTATATAAGTCCATGCCTTCACACACTCCTGGTGCTTTTAAAATATGAATTGCCATGTCATTGAGTTTGTAACTCACATTTTATTGATCAGGTTGCTCTTTCCTTTTAGTATTTTCTTATTAGTACAATTTCAGTTAGTACTTTCCAAGCAGCTCATCCATTTTCTGTATTAAAAATAATACTCTGTTTATATTGCTGCAGTATTCGTCTGGCATCCCATAATCAGAGAGGAACTATCTACCCTCCTCTACTTACTATTGCTTACACAGACGTGCTTGTTGAAAACCCTGAAACCCAAAGTGTGATGGTGAGATCTTCGTGGTATCTTAATTGAACTGATTTGTTAATCATACTTTTCAAACCAAAGTCAAAAGACGTCTTAGGTTAGATAGATACTTAAGCTAAAGGGAGCAATTTTGGTGCTACACAGCAATTTGTATTTCAGTCAAGCTGGAAAAGAAATGGTGTCTGAGCTATGTAGAGCTCACTTTATGATTTTGCGTATTTGGCGTAATTACATTGAGGTTGCTTTTAATCAACACCGATGAAAGGGCAAGTGTCAAATCTTTGGTGTCTCCTCTCAGAAGGAAAAAAATATGCATATTTGGAAGGATTGTGATTAGGTACAGCTAGTAACTTGCAGGTAGCAGGCATCCATCCCCAGCATTACTGTTGGTAAAATCTGCACTGAGCATAGCAGAGCATATGCCAATACTAAGTTTGGCATTGTAGCACAATAGGTTGTATGTACGCAGTAAAAGAAAATAGGTGTTGTATAATAGCTCTAGACGGGAATTCCCACCAACTAAAGTGTGAAAACTCCCATTGTCTGTAATGGTTGTAGCATTTCAGAATTGCCATGCATATTTACTTTTTGTATCTTAATATTCAGGTTTCCTTCTCAGTCAGTTATGAGATGAATCAGTCAGAAGCTCAGGTTCAGACTGATGTAAGTTGTGTTTCCCTTTAATTCATCAATATAATGATTTACTTATGTTTTGTGTTTTTTAAAAACATCTGCCAATAACTTTTCATTCTCTTCAGATCACACTGGGTGTGTTGGGTGGGCTCGCAGTGTTATGGTCCCTTCTCAAGACTGCAGGCTGGAAGAGACGCACAGGAAGCTCTGTAATTGACTTGCAGGTATGAACAGCTAGCAACCTAAAAAAGGAGATATCTTCCTCTTTTTAAAGAGACCTTTGCTATCATTCCCAGTGATATAACCGTTCTGTTTCTTAAGGCAACTGAAATAATTTCTAGCCTAGCTGCATAGATATGTGACTTGAGGAAGTAGGTTTTTTGCCTTTTTTTGGGGTAGGAGGGGGGTTCTGATTTTGTCATTTAAGAAACACTTTTGCTAAAAATCAAGGTATTTACAGAACTGTTCTGATCAGTTGAGTGGACTTACTGTTCAGATTAATTCTCCTTTGAACAAAGGCCAGCATGCAGGATTTTCAGATACTGAATGTACCGTAAATATATGACGACAGTAGAAAAAGTTTGTTCAAGCTTCTTTTCAGTACTAGAGTTTCCTGTAGTGTGATGACATTTTATATGAATGTGCATATACATTATTTGATTGGTTTTACAGATCTCTACAGTGTGTTTTTATAATTGCAGACAGTTTTGAAGTTCTTACTGTTTTATGCTGGAGACCTTGCCAACGTTTTCTTTGTCACCACAGTGGGCACAGGGATTTATTGGCTTGTGTTCTTCAAAGTAAGTGTTTTTCCAGATTTGGGGGTTATGAAAACCTATTAATATTGCATATATTTTTACACAAGAATTAATTTTCTTTCTTTTTTCTTTTTTCTTTTTTTTCTGGTCAGACTGTTGAGGCAAGTTCTATATCATATCCTGTTTCGTGTGCTGAAATTTCTCTGTTGACGTGTTTCTTTTCCTTAGGATTCATTGTACTTGCATTCTGCTTAATAGTCACTTCAAATATTTTACGAATTCCAAATGATTGTGCATTAAATATTGATCTGTTTCTGCAGAATGTTATTTGCTCTTAAGCACTTAGTACTTTGTTATTTATGCCATCCATACTATTTCAATATAACTTCTCAATTATAGGGTCAGCAGTTTGTCTCTGTCCTTTTACCACTTCCATCTCAAGAAGAAGATTTTGTTACATACATAGCATGTGCATTTAGTTTAAAGGTAAATATTTTTTTGCTCAGGCATTAAAGAGATTTCAACATATGCTTCTGTATATTTTCAGTAGGCTTGTTTTTAAACATCTTGTAGAGTTCATTTTATTGGTGTATAGATGTAAACAATTATTTTACTCTAAGAATTAAGTAATTTTCCCATAGAAATTTGTTTTGTGGAGTCTTTATATGGAAGCAAATGTCTAAGGAAGATGATCTATGGAAAATTATTCTTTCAAGGTTAAAGGTGTAAAGAGACCAAATAATACCATATCAAGCAAGCTAGTGCTTTCTTTTAAAGCAGAATGTAAGTGCTGCCAATTCCTTATTAAAAGGAAGACATTAGAATAATTATGTTCAAACATACTTGTAGAATTCCAAGATCAGTATTCTGTCTTCATGGGATATACAAGTATTTTATTAATTATGGGTATTATATTGCATTGGAATTCATAATACATGCTAATAGGTTATGGGAAAATAGTCCTCTTTTTTTTTATGTTTAATGAATGACTTGTGCAAGGACTGTTTCTTCATCTTTGTCTATATGCTTTTGCTGTCCTTACTTGTTACATTTCTCCTTTTTCTTTCTTAGGCTCTGCAATTCTTACAACTGCTGGTTTCACAGCTTACTATAGACATTTTCTTTATTGACTGGGAAAGACCTAAGAGCAGAGTTGTTAAAGGAGTTGAAGGTAACTCAAACTTTGCTTGTTTGGATAGCCAGCTTTGGTTAAGTTCAGATACGCTATCAAGTATTAAATTTCAGAGCTTTATTGTATGTATTCTTTTTAGGTGAAGGTGTTATTAAAAGTGCTGCTGCACCTGTGAGCATATGGAGGACCTATTTTGTAGCAAATGAATGGAATGAAATTCAGACAGTGAGGAAGATAAATCCTCTGTTTCAGGTGTTTGCAGTTCTTTTTTTTCTGGAGGTACTGTTATTACTATTATTATTGTTATTAAGTTTTTATGATTCACAACAAGATTGTAACATAAGGGTCTGTTTTTTAACTCTTGCGTTCTCTGGGTAACCTTCAAGTTCACCTGAAAACATATAACTTTGTAAAATAATTACTTTAATACATTTTTAAATTTATATGTATAGGTCATTACAATAATTTATTAAGGAAGACTTGGGGGAAAACAAAGCAACCCAACCATTAATTAGCTTAGAGACCTCTGTTGGTTTTGTTTGGGTTTTTTTAAGGTAATGAGTTATCCTAAGTGGCTTAAGAGACTGATAAATCTGTGTACACACTCAATTCCTTATTTGCCTACTGGCTCCCTCCTGCATCAGTCAACAGCTTTATTTCAAGTTTCATATTTATCTGAACTGAAGTGACCTTTCATAAAGCAGGAAATGAAATGTGCCAGTTCTGTTCCTGATGGCATAACACAAGGCATTATGCCTTCAGATACAGCTTAAGGATACGTGAGAAATTGTGCTTTAGCTTTTTAAAAACATACTGTTTTGCTTCCTCTGCAGTTACTAAGTGCTATTACTTAGTGAAGTATTCTTAAAGCATGTAGCATATAGTTGTTTATGTGAGGTTCTTACATATTTCTAATACATTTTTATAATTTTTTTTTATTTTCTATTTTTCTTTATAATTAAATACAGTAAATACACCCAAGCTTTCCTCATTCACTACATCAGTAGTTTTGCTGTTGGTAAACACAAGCCAGGACCAACATAGGTGCCACATTGCAAGGAAAGAATGGGAAAAAAGAGAGCATGCATTCCCCAAACTAATCTCATGTTACTCTGCTTAAGCTGCTGGTATTACCGCAAGGGAGAGGCTACTCTTAGTACAGACAGATTATCATCTTGCTCTATAACTACATCTATGAATTTCCCTCTGAAGAATCCCTTTCTTGCCACTGATAGTGGAGAAGGTCATGAAAGATAACTAAATAGGCTAAATCAGTGTTTGTGGAAACCTCAGATAATCTTCATAACTTTCATTGCTATGCTGAAGATTCAAGCTCAGTTTCCCTAGAAGTATAATGCACAGGGGCAGATATGGCAATCAGCTGCTTACTACAAGAGGGAACTTCTGTAATGCCTAAAGCCCATCTTCTTGGGTTAGCAGTTTTAATAAAGTGACTGTTCCATTCTCATTAATCATTGTGACAAGCTGTAGGGTAGTAGAAAACAAGCCAGGAAAAGTAATAATTGGAGGAAGTTGGAAAGCATAAAAGAAGGAGTCTCCCTCCCCACAAGCCTTGTGTCTGGCACCAAAGTAGTCACTGGTTGGCATAGTCACTATGGCAGTGCTGCCGACATGGCTGGTGCAGGTACAGTTTGGCAGAAAAATGTGGCTTTTCAATACTGTACTGGGTCTGACTGGGGTGGAGTTTATTTTCTTCACAGCAGCCCATAGGATGTTGTGGCTAAAACAGGGTAACACGCCAGTGTACTGCCTGTTGCTGAACAGTGCTTGAACAGCACCAAGGTCCCCAGCGAACAGGCTGGGGCTGTGCAAGAGGCTGGGAGTACAGCCAGGCCCCCAGCTGATCAAAGAGGTATTCCATACGATATACCATTATGCTCAGCAGTAAAAATGGAAGAGAGGGATTTTCTGGGAACTGGCTGAGCACTGGTCTACTTGTCAGAGATCGTTAGTGATTGCCTTTTGTCAGGGTCCGGTTGGAGAAAATCCTAGTGCCGGACCCTGTTTCAGTTCATGATCCCAAGAGTGAAATTAGGATGCAAATGAGGTCAAGTACTGTAATCGATTAGTACGTTTATTACAAAAGGACAATTATAAAAATGGGAAATTATTGTAATAAAGGGGACAGTGATAGGACAGATCGGAAAAAAAGGGAGAAAATGAAGAAAGGATTCGAGGTGCAGAGAGAGAGAGAGTCACCACCGTGGATCCAGCAGTATCCCGGGGATCCATTGTCCCCATTGTTGGTGGTAGGAGTCCTTCAGGGTTCATAGTCAATATTGGAGCAGAGTGTCCCCCAAGAGTCCGTCAGAGGTGGGTGTCCTCATGGAGGCATCCTTCTGGAGTCCCTGTGAAGGTACCCTGTGGAGTGTGTCTCGTGGAGCTGCCCTCTGGCCATGTCTCATGGAGGGTGTCCCTCAGGGTCCATAGTAGTCATCCTCACGGAGGTGTCCTTCTGGATTCATCCTCATGGCAGTGGTTCCTTGGCAATGTGTCTCTTGGTGATTACCTTTTCCCCCTTTTATTACAAGCTGGGGGAAGCACCTGTGTTCTTCATGTCACATATTGCATGTTCCTCGTGGACCAGTTTCCCAGGTCTTGCAGCCAGCTCTTGTCTGGGGACACACACACACACACAAACTCACACATACATGCACACGCACACACACGTCTGCAGCAATTCTTGGGATAATGGGCAGCAGTTCCTCACGCCAATCCTTGAGGTAACGGAGTCTTAGCTCTTTCCCAGTCATCGCTCAGGCAATGGATGGTGGAGTCCCACTTAAGCTCCTCACACCCTTCTCCCAGGCATTGGAGTCTTACCTCAACTCCTCCCACCCATCTCTGAGCAGTTTCTCAGACCAATCTTTGAGACAATGGACAGTGAAGTCTGATTTCACATCAGTCTCGCACCTTTGCACCACTTGTTGTGGAGGTTTTTTCACCTTCTTCCCTTTTCCTTGCTTCTTAAACTTCTTTATCTTGACCCACAAGTTTTCTTGCTTTTGTTTTTCCTGTTCCCAGTCCCACTGTGGGGGTTAAACCCACCACAAATACGTTTCCATGCAGCTGTGGTTCTGAATAATGTACACATATTTCTTACCTCTGAAGTGTTTCAAGATGTGGTGTTTCTCTTCCCTCTTTTATTTGGGAACTTTTTCTAGATTCTTTATTTAAAATAGAGTTGGCCATAAAGACAGTGTAGGGAAATATATTTCTGTTCAACAAAACAACTGGAATATATAGGACCAAAAAGGTGAAATTTGGCAGAAATAATATCCCTATGCAGTCCAACAGTAGAATCATTTGGAGTTTTTCAGTAAAAATCAGTGTTGAGTTTTCAGGAGATTTAGGTGCATATATTTTTTAATTTCTGTATCAAAACATATACATACAGTTTATGTTTTTAATCATGTTTCTCAGTAATAACACTGGATCACGCAATTGGGCTCTATCATAGTGAACATGCTACTATTCCCAGGTCCATTTTTCCTAATTTGTAATTCGTATTTCCTGTTACAATGGAAACAACAGTGTCGTAATTAATACTGTTCATTGCCGCATGTTGTTCATTGGTCTTCTTAATCACTTCAGGTGGTGGGATTTTCAAACCTGGCTTTAATGGATTCTTCTTCCAGTCTTGCAAGAAGCAGTGAGAGTTACATAGCTCCTTGGAGCCGCATTTTAAGATTTGGTGTGTCTGCTGCGGTCTGGTTAGCCATTGCTGGCTTACAGGTATGGGAAACACATACATACTGAATTGTGATTTCCAGGCTGGTTCTTAGAAGCTAGAATATATCACTAGGCCATCCATACTAAGTGTCACAGTACTGGGTATATTCTTAACTGGTTTGCTTGGTTTAGACTTTTAGCTGCTTTAGCATGGTACACCGTTAGAACTCGAAATGCATCTTGTGAGCCATGAGACATCATAGTTTGTAGCCAGAATTTTAATCCTCTCAATGATGTGAATTTATGCTATTACTATGGCTTGTTTTAAACAACTTTGGAGCATCCTGTCCATGGCAGGGGGGCTGGAACTAGATGATCTTAAGGTCCTTTCCAACCCTAACTATTCTATGATGCTATGATCTCCAAGTTCAGAATGGAAAGCAGGTTATTGCTACAACTTTACTTCTTAGAGGAAAGATGTCAATCACATTTCATAGACTCTGTTTGCAATAGTGGCCATTATGGAAGTCTGTAATGTGTGGGTGTTAAACTGTGCAGTTAACTGCTTAATAAAGTCAGATCTGATGAACTAACAGAACAAAAATTGGTTGATTTTATTTCAGATTATATTTTTTTCTGTGTGTTATGAAAGATTTATTGAAGATAAGATAAGCCAGTTTGTTGATTTGTGTTGCGTGAGCAATGTAAGTATCTCCATCTCATTTGTACAGTGGCATTTTTAATAGAATAATACATAAGATAGTTTTAAGAATATTCAATAATATTTATTAATTTAATTTGAGATTGCAAGCTAACAGCCAAAGTAAGTGTTTCTTTCAGCTAACTTTATTGGTGCAATCTACAAGAAAATTTCAGTTTAACTTTAAATGGAAAAGGATTTGGGAACTATAGGTATCAGCATGTTCTTCTAGGTGTGTGATTTTTAAGTTGTTTATGAATTTAAGTTGGTTACATTTGCACATACAGAATTTAAAAGTAACAAATCATGACAGAATTTGCTGCCCTTCTGTCCATTGGTTTGCATTTTAGTACTTTTGTCGTATAGCCACAGCTGTCTTGATATTAGTTTATACCAGTTTCTGCTCCTATCTTGTGATTGTCCCTCAATAGCTGACCCTCATGATTGTCCCTTTTGGACGGTTACCAGCTTTTTCATGCATTTTCACTTGAACACATCTAAACTGCTTTGCTTTCTCTAGTTTTAATATGGGTCTTGAAGCTTTGCACTGCAGGAATTCCTTTTTAACCAAAGAAGAGTGCAGTCGGAACAGGTTGGATTGTCTCATTTGTACAGAACTTTTTAAAATACAGAGATTAACCCCTTTTATCAGCCTTTCCAGCCTTGGTGATTCCTCTTCTGTGAAACACCCATATAGTGCATGGGTTGTCAAGAGATTCAGGGGTTTATGTGATATATATAAACATTCTATCATACTGAATGAAATTCTGTTAAATAGAGTCTCCTAGAAACTCAACTGGAATCATGCATGTGTATTATGTATCACAGACATAATTTTTGAATCAAAATAAAAGTTAGTAACTTCGTTTTCATTTTTTTGGCTCTGGAATTAAGTAGTGATCCTTGTTGATAAACTAAACTTGAAGCTGGTGTGTGTTTATAGTTAAACATAGATAAAACTTATCAGTAGAAGAGTTACTAAATCTTTTTCTCCCATATTTATTTTGGTACCTGTCTACTTGGTATATGTAGAAGGTCTGGCTGGTCTCCACTGGGAATTCAAGCATTAATAATAAAGTTATAATTTTTAATTAAACTATACTTCTTTTCCCCCATCTCTTTTAGATTTCAGTGTTTCTCTTGTCACACAGCTGCTTTGGTTATTATATCCATGGTCGCTCTGTGCATGGACATGCAGATACCAATATGGAAGAAATGAATAGGAACCTAAAGAGAGAAGCAGTAAGTAAAAGTACTAAAGTTTACACCTGCTCTAGTTATTTATTTTATAAAAATCCCCTACATCTTTGCATTATGGATCTGCATGTGTGCATTGCGTTGCACCAAGCTGTGATACTTAAAAGATACCACCTATTGGTATGTGTATATAATTCTTTTAACTAGCTCTTTACTATTTCTTCTTCTGATACTTCTTCATATTCCATAGATAGATAATTTCTGTTTATCTAAGAAGCTTTTTTATGTATTTAAGAACCTTCTTTTTTGATATTGAAGCTTTTCATAAGCGCATGGCTTTCCTAATAGAGAAACATTTATTTTTGCAATAAATTCTTTTTTTTATCTCTTCTCCTGTGGTGGTATAACTTATTCTTTACTAAAATTAATTTCAGAAGTATTTTTTTCTAGCTTTTCATATGTTGTACCTTTACTGTGAGGTCGGGCAAATGTGAAATGTCTCATAGAAGATTGGTGCAATTTGCATTAAATTCCATGACATCTTGCAGCTTTGTAGGGACAAGCTAGACAAAGTATATTGCTATTTCAATGATAAACCATCAGAAAAAAAAAAAACTATAATCATGTGAAAATTAAACCTCAAACATTGAAATATATAGGAATCTCTTTATTAATATAATTTGTATAGGTGTTTTCCTGTATTTTTTTTCCTAATTGCTTAGTTCAATATGATTTTTGAAAAGCAGGTTTTTCCCTATGGAGGTACCTAATTTTCTGTTGTTTTTTTTTGGGGGGGGGGGTAAATTTATTAAATGTGGCTTGAAAAACATATGGAAAAAGTCAGGATCCAAAGCACAAAAAAATCAGGACAAGTATAGAATAAATGATAAATATAAAAGAAAGGGCTTCAGAGTGGATGACAAAAGATGTATTAGAAGGTAATGAACTGAACACAGTTTAAAAGAGGAATATAACTTTGTGACAGCAGGGGTCAGGATTTCATGTCCTATGAAAATCTGGCTATAATCGAACCAAGAGTGCAGTCAATTCAAATATTTAGTATTATGTGTACATGAAAGAGAGGAAATGAAAAGCTTTTGATTTTGGGAGGTCTATGAATGAAACAAATAATGTTTTAATAATTTACAGTTGCTTTAATTGTATAGGAAAATCTGTGTAGTCAGAGAGGTCTGTTACCAAACACAGATGGCCAGACATTTCAGATGTCCATTTCAAGAAAAGTGCGACTGCACTATGACAGGATTCATGAAACCCTGACAAGAGTAAGTGAGATACTTGTATTTTGTTAATGTTATTTGAAATATGTAATTTTTCCACTGAAGTCATGGCCATGTTATATTTCAGAGACGTGGTCCTGCTAGGCTTTTGGACTCATCTGCAAATACTTTTGAACAAAGCACAAGGGCATACAACACCATGAACAAATTTCTCAGTTCTTTTATTAATCACGTATGTATTTTGACATTACTGTATTAAGGAAAAAGGCTAAGTATTGTAAATCAGACTGTAATTTCTGTTAAAGCATATGTGCTTAAAGATTTGTTGTTAAAGACTGGAACAGTGCTTCATTCAAGAAAAATAACTGGAGTACTGTCTGAGAGTACAACCTGTTCTTAAAAATTACAAATCCTTTTTTGTTATGTACTTATTTTTGTCTTTGAATAGACCAGTGCTTTTTTTCATTCACAAAATGAAGCTATACTTCACTTTGTAACAAGTACTTTTTCTTTGAAGTCATAAAACAACAAGTATTGTTTTTCCTTTTCTTATAGGCTCATAAAGAAATGGATTATATTGTCAAAGATAAGTTGCTGTTTGAACGGATTCTTGGCATGGAGTTCATGGAACCCATAGAGAAAAGTCTTTTTTACAGTGGTAAAAACATTTGCAACTCGGTATTTGTACTGTTATAAGTATGTTGGTTTCTGTGTAGCATTTTTTCCCAGAATTTACAATCTAAACCGGACTTTAGGGAAGGAGGGGTCATTAAATGATCGCTTGTGAGGGAGGGACTGAAGAGAAGTTCTCCAGGTTACAGAAACCCTATTTATATTTTGTCACTCAATTGCAATGATTTTTCTCTTAGGCAACTGAAAAGATGCTCTGTAGAGATGGGCATGTGTTTATGAAGTGCTCCTTTTGACTTGCTGTCTGGATCCAATATGCACCTTGGAAATGGCAAGAAGACCCACAATATTTAAATAGCTTCATGCTATTTTTTAATATATAGTACCAAATTTCTCACGAAACAACTAAAAGTACAGAAAGACAATTTCTTTATAGAGGATATTGATCACAGTGAGGACGTTTTAGTGGAATACTTGATGTTAATACACCACACATCTTTGCAGACTCCACTAAGTAATTTGGGTTCTTTAATATTTTATTTTGATGCTTTTTAAGTATTGCTAATGCTTACAGCAAAAAATTAGTATTCCAGCAGAAATAGGGGTGACACCAGTTCTGATTCTGCTCCCTGGAGTTATGCAAGGTCAGTTAGACTTGGGTTCTCCAGTGCAACATCCTGAATCCTAGCCCTATGCTAAACTTAGCCGTAAGGGTCTTCCAGGTGAGCGGTACATGTGTTAAAAATAGATTTAGTGAACATTCTTGACCATATCTCAACCTTCAACCTAGGTTCCTAAATCAGAACCTCTGGAAGATTGATGCTGTGGAACATCCAAGGCTCTAAAAACCTTAACCTATTAATAATTACTGCCAGGTGACCAATACCTGCATCACTGGTATCCTCATCCAGTGTTAGGTCCCCCACTTCCCCAACTTCATCCAGGTTCTGAAACCCAGAATCGTGTTTTCCTCCTACTAACAGATGTGGTCTGTATCTGGACTGGTATCCACACTACAGTGAAATATGAGCTATAAATTTAGGCCTGATACCAGTCAGCTTCTTCAGTTCCTGAGCTGTACAAAATCCATCAGAAATCTGTGAAAACCTCAGTTCAGACCCTGATTCTACCCCTAACCATAAACATGGCTATCACCTGCATGAAAACTAAACATTAGCTAGTGATCTAAGATGATGCAAGCCCTCATTTTGAGACCCTCAAGTACTTGGTTCTCCTGCCTCACTGTTACTTAGAATTTATAAATTCTAAACCTTATCAGTAGTGTAATCCAATCCATAGCTATTACCAGATAACTATTACACATCCTAAATATGTCATTATTCTTATATAACAGCAACTGCAGATTATATCACTGAGCTGTGCAGAGCTTTTCCTGTTTTATGACACTGGGGCTGCAAAAGCTGAAGCCTAATTTGAATTTCAAACCTTGCTGTGTAACCAGTAATGCAGCACATGCTTTCCAACAAGCTATGGTTGTAGTCTGGTATTTTTGGTCAGTTTAGATGTCTGAGCTACACCTAATTCACTAAAGGCTTGGGCTCTCCTCCCCTGTCATGGTGAAGCATATCTTTAGTAATAAATGTTCCCAGATAGCCAGTATCTGCCTTATAACTAGGACTTGCTTCAGCCTTAGTCTGTGTTTCCACATCTTGCAAAATCATAGAATAGTTTGAGTTGGAAGGGACCTCTAAGGTCATCGAGTAGAGGCCCCTGCAGTGAGCAGGGACATCTTCAACTAGATCAGGTTGCTCAGAGCCTTGGACCTTGAGTGTTTCTAGAGATGGGGCATCTCTACCACCTCTCTGGGCAAACTGTGCCAGGATTTCACCACCCTCATTGTAAAAAAAAAAAAAAATTCCTTATTATCTAGTCTGAATCTTCCCTCTTTCAGTTTAAAACCCACTTCCCTTGTCCTATCACTTACAGGCCCTCTTAAAATCTGTACCCAGCTTTTGTATAAGCTTTCTTTAGGTACTGGAAGGCTGCTCTAAGGTCTCTCTGGAGCCTTCTCTTTTCTAGGCTGAACAAGCCCAACTTTCTCAGCCTTTCCTCACAGGAGAGGTGCTCCATCCCTCTGGTCATTTTTGTGGCCCTCTTCTGGACCTGCTCCAACAGCTCTGTACCTTCCCTGTGCTGAGGGCCCCTGAGCTACATGCAGTTACTCCAGATGGGGTCTCACCAGAGCAGAGGGGCAGGATCACATCCTTTGACCTGCTGGTCACACTTCTTTGGATGCAGCCCAGGATATGATTTGCTTTATCAGTGATTCCAAAACCCTATTCTAAACCCCAGGTCTACTTAGCCATAAATATTGTCAAGTATGCAATGGCTGAGTTAGAATTAAGTGTATAAGCATGATGTGATATCTTCAAATTGTGCATTAGTCAACAAAGCTTTGGTCTTTTGACTGCCATTGTTTCAAAATTCGTAATCCTAAGCATTGATATAAATGTATTCTTTGATAGTTTAGACTGCCACGGTTCCCAGTGTTTTAAATACAAATCAGGATTTCATGGCAGTACTTACGCAATTTGTAATAAAAACATGCTGTTTCCAATAAGACTTGCCACAGACATTTTTCTGAAAAAGGGAAGAAAGTGTTGCTTTCTCTATCGAAAGTGGTGCTTTTTGATAGAGGAGTGGGTAAGTGGTCTAGACTACTTCTGCTATGAAAAAGGTATTTTAAGCTTAAAAGACCCATTTTTTTGTGAAACTGCTTATCAGTGAACAAAGATAATGTCAAGCTTTCCTTTCTTCTTATCAGCTTTCTCAGTGTGCACTGCTGAACTCCACGAACTTGCACTTCACAGAAATAATGTTTTTGACAAGTATTTTCTTTCTGTAGATGAAGGACAGTCCTTCAGTGATGTTCTCTATTACGGCAATGAGACAACGCTGCTCATCTTTGATATTCTGTTTTTCTCTGTTGTGGATCTGGCTTCCCAGAGTTTTGTCTTAGCAGCTATTCTAACCTATTTGCAACAAGAGGTAAATTTCAATTGAAGAACACAGTCATATTTTAAAAGCCTGGGTTAGTGTGGCAGTATAAGCAGTTAACTACATAATTAAAGCAGTAAGTCAGCAATATGTGGTGACAGAGGACTATACTGAGAGCTTATAAAATAGGGGTTTGATGTGATTTTTTTGTCAGAAAGGCTTGTGAGAAATTTTTATTCACATGCCTGTCAGGAATAAAGAGGCTACAAATAACCTTCAATAGAAAACACGAATATCTGTTGGGATTAATCACACATAATTATATCATATTTCAGGGTGGAGATACAGAAATGTTTCGAAAGCACTGAAGGGAGTTAAGCACCTAATTCATTCACGTTATTTACAATTTAAAGATAATACGAAGTTACTACTTTATGTTAGTTACTGAAACATTCTGTTCTAAGCATTTCTTCATTAATACATTTTTTTCTAAAATATTCTTAGATATTCAGGTTTATTCGTAGTACACTTGGGCAGAAGAATTTGGCATCCAAAACCCTGGTGGATGAAAGATTTCTCATCTAATTAAGAAGATGGAAAACTTTGTTGAGGAGTTCATGGTGGATGTTATGTCCATGACCAAAGTATCTCTGACTGCAGATTAATTCTAGTGCACTTTTCAATAATAATAGTGTGATGTTTTTGAAAAGGGTAATTTTTTATATTGTGTGCTATTAAACTTTATTTTTGTGTATTTACAAATATTTTTTGAATTTATGAACGCTAAGCCATAGGCTGTTAAAGGAAAGGCACATGAAAATAAGAAGTAAACTTAAGTGTTGTTATTAGTAAAATAAGGTAAATATTTTCTGATGGTTTTTGGTAAGATAGAGACTGCGCCCTTTTTTTTTTCTGACAATCGCTTACATCTTTTTTATTATTTTTAATTTATTTTGAGGTACAATGTATATCAAACACACAGTTTTACACAGCACAGGATTTGTTCTCAAGTAAGCTACTATTTCAGGAGGACTTTTTAAAGATCTCTTATTTATAGTGACTCCAACTTGAAATTTGAGCTGTTCTTTACTGTGTGATAGTATTGTGTGCTTTTGTCTCTTCTCGGAGTTTTTTCTTGGGTGTGGACTAGATATGACCAAGTTTCCTTGTGTTTGAGATTCAGTAGTGTTACAGTGATGCAGAAAAACAGGTTAGTTATGATAGAGCAGCGGAGATGCTTGTAGGTGCTGGGGGTTTGTTCCTGATCTTCTGTCATCTGATGTGAAATGCATGGGGAAGTAACAGTAATGCTTTTGTGCTGTTTCCACACAAGTGAAGCAGAAGCAATCGTTCTTATCCTTCTAGAAGTGTTTTCACAGGTGCCTATCTATGCTCATGTACCTCTCTCTCTCATCTCTCTGAACTTTCTGGCTTTATTACCTTTAGGTATAACCCAGAGACCATAATCATTTTACCATTATTATGTTTTTGGAATTTAAACAAGTTAATAATTATTCAAGTGCCACTTATTAAGTATTAAGGGAGATTATGAATGGCCTTCAAAACACCTTAAAGTGAGGTGTCTACCTCCCATATGTGCCTCTGAAAAGTCTCCCTACCTTTTTTGAAGTATGTTTTTCAGTAAATGGTTAAACCTGAATAGTGTTTGCTGGTTTTATACCTGTTACTGTCCTTAGATGATTCCACAAGGGACTTTCACCAGCAAAAACACCATAAAAATGTAAGCCAAGGTTAGTGTGTTTATACCAAAACAGAGACTGAGGACATGATTAGCTGGAACTAGGAGATTTCCAATGCCAGTGTGCTCATCTGAGTTGAAGCAGCATTGTTTCAGGTGTTGCTTGGCTTTATAAAAAGGAACTTGTTCTCATTTTGATACTACATCATACTATCATGATCTTAAACCTACTGGAACATGGACATAAACCTCAGGGTCACTATTGGCTCTAATATATTTGCTTTTAGTGTTGGCAAAGGATGTGTAACTTGCTAGTTCAATATAGTTGCTATTAACTGATAGAACGTGTCTGTCAGTAAGTCTGTAGTAAGAGAGATGACTGAAGAGTTGATTTGTAGCAGGACATCCATTTATCAATATGCAGTTTAGCACAGACATTTCCATGTCCTGCTTTCCTTACTTCTGTCTATGTGCACAATGCTTAGTTTGTTGGTGCACACTATGCTGCAAAAAAAAAGGTGCAAATACAAAACTTCCAACAGTGAAGTGTACACTCTAAATAAAATTATTGTTGTTGCCTTTATAGTGAATGTAGAGATGGAAGTGTCCATTAGGTGCTGCATCCATTAAAGTAGCCAAAAAAGTGTATTCTACTGAGTATCATGATTGTATGATTTATTACTTGTGGGGTTTCTGTCATACTTCCTGTCAGTGATCTACTGAGTGCCAAAACTGTAAACTAAGCCAAGGAGCCATCTGAAGAAGGGTCTGCAGCAGGACATTAGCAAGGCAGTAGTTAAGCTGACATGATGTCCATGTATTTCTTTGGTCCATAGCTTAGCATAGCTTAGCTAAACTTAATATTCCAGTTCTTACAAGTCCTACTGAAATGTCAGTGTATAAGAGGAAATATACTCTTTCTTATGTGACCAGATTTATTCAAGGTGACTGATGTGACTAAAGGGGCATAGAAAGTTGCTGTGGTCCATAAGTGATCAAGTACAACCCTAATGAATTATCCTAATAGAGATCTTTCCTTATTATCACTTTCCAGCAATAGTACTGTATGTCACTGACAATGGTAACAGCCTCAGGCTTTTTGTCTGTGTGAATTCTGATGATGTGTTCATGGTCATGAAGGTATTCTAGGGAACAGAGCCACACTTCAAATGTACCAGAATGGTCTGACCTAGGACCAACTTCAGCCAGAATAGCTAAAACATAGTAGCCAGACCAGGGTAAATCAGGGAATGCCTGCAAGCAAGTGCCATCTGTAGACACAGACTTGTAGTTTTAATTAGCCCAGTACCAGCAGTAGTGGGGACATTTCAGCTCTCCCTCTGTACCCTGTTGTCAATGCTTTTGCTTAACCAGCGACACCTTTCTGTGCAAAAGTCATGCTTTGAGTTTGCTTTAGATAGGCCTTTAATTATGTGCTGCTCAGAAGGGCATGTGAAAGCTTTGATGACCTTCCACTTTGCAAGAACTACTGCTACAGGCAACTCTTGTTAAAGATAAATGATAAATTAATCTGAAAACGTCAAAACAGTTCAGTTGCTTAGTGCCCTTTTCTCCTCAGTGCGCACACTACTCCGTTGTGTTTTATTTTTCCAGGTCATTTATCTAAGCTGTTAAATCAGCTAACATAGGCACTTTACATGATTTAGGAAATAATTACAGGAGTCAAAAGCTCCAGGCGTTCATAGCATTCATAGATGCGTTTCTTCATCCTTGCTGTCCAGTGAACACTTGAAATGCGTTGACTGTGCTTTGTTCTCCTGTTGCTTCGTGTTTGTTCAAGGAATGTCTCTTGTGATTTTATTTCCAACTTAATGTTTTTCCTTTTTTAAAATTAACATGCAGCTACACTGTGCTGTTATTGTAATGAGTGTCTTCCAAGTTTCTAAATGTTTTATTTAATCACATGGCATCTCAAACCCTCTCACATCTCTCCCTCTGAGCAATAAAATATTTTCAAGGATTGGAGTTGTTTTGCATTTGTAAAATCTGTTGACCCAAGCCCATAACATGCTCTTCCTCCCATGAGCATGGGGGTTTCAGAGCAGAGCAGGAGGCTGCTACTGGCTCTGCAGTGCAGAGAAGCTCTGTCAGGACACGTGTAAAAAGAGGACTGTCCAGTCAGTGAGGCAACAGAGGGTATGTTTTTGAATAGCCACAACTGATGGAATGAGATGGTTCCTTTTTGACAAGCATTTTAGGAGTTAGACACCAAAACAGTTAATCCCACAAATAATTATAACTTGTACAGAAATTTCAGTACTATGTTTAAAATTCACAGGTTTCATTGACTAGTGAGGACTTGGTTGATTCGTATTTCACTACAGCATTCATTTAGTGGCGAGTGTGTGATTGAGGTAAATGGTACCAGAGGTGAGAAGGGCAACTGGCATGACAGTCGGCATTCCTCCCTGCCCATCAACTTGCTGCAGCTTGGGCAGTGCAGCAATGCCAGCCACGCCAGGCTCAGGGGTTTGGCTGGCTGTGTTCAGCCTGAAGGGGGTGTATGGGCAGTTGGTGACTAGGGGAGGGTGACACTATGATAACACTCCTAAAATATCCTCTCTAAGATGAACTCTTCCATCTTACCTTGGTAGTGCTTCAGTAAGCCTTGATGGTCTGGAGCCCTGACCACCTGTATCCCTCGCTGATCCAGACTGCTTTGCCTACATACTAGTGCTCTACAAGCCCTGCCACTCGCTTTGTTTTCCCAAGTGACCTCCATCACAGCAGGAATAGCTGTAAGTCTGGCAGCTGGGGAGAGGTGAGAGATTAATTCGGAAACACTGGATGCTCAAAGCTCACCTGTGGAACAGCTCTGCAAGATCAGGAGCAGCACCAGGTTAGCTGACACTGAGAATTCTCTTTCAGTGTTCAGAACTGTTCTCTTTTCAATCTGTGACAGCTAAGCCCACACCAGGCAGTCTCCTCACAACCTGTGGTGGTCATGGTATCAAAAGCAGAGGCTACATCTAAGCAGGGAGAAGGAAACATACTTGTCATAGCTCTAAAGCAGTTACTAGAAAAGCCTAGAACAAGAGACAGATCTAGATGGTTTCTTTCTGTGGTTGGGTTGGGAGGAGGTTTTGCGTAAGTGCTATTACAGCACTTACTGAATTCCCATTTTACAGCTCTGTGTGGCAAGAAGTCTCACACAGCATGGAAGAAACTGGCATGAAAAAAACAACCTCTAACCCTGTTGTTGTCTCCGTGACCTTCCCACCCTGGTTTACAACTGCAGGAAAATAATCCCCTTCGAATCATGGCACGAAATAGGTCTCCAGTTCTGCCTGCAAATGTTGGCTGGAGATATTTGCTTTGGGCTTTGCCTGATCCCTGGGACAAGAAGAGTTGCACTGACCTCCCTCCTGAGCAAACAGCTCAGAATCTCCAGGAGCCTGGCCTGATGCCCCTTCCCACCCGTATCCCACTGCAGCCAGCGAGCTGGGATGAATGGATGTTGCTTTCATGTGCAGTGGTTTCCCCTGAATCCTCTCCAGCACCATGGAGCTGCGGGGGCATGGTGGGGGGCAGCACCTCCTTCCATAGCCCGAGGGGAGGATGGATCCGGGCACTGGCTGTGAGGCACATCCCCAGCTGCCACCCCTCCTACACCAGCCCTTCCCCTCACCTCTTCACTTCCAGGTTCACCTGGGCCCACAGAGAGCTGAACCCCAGGAATCTTGGCAAGGGGATGCAGAAGTTATGCTGATATCTGTATGTTTAATAACAGCTTTGCTGGAAGCTCAGTATTTATGGCATTGCCTTGAAAATAGGAGCAGAGACGATGCCGGGAGAGTTACCTCACAGGTGTTTGTTTCTCCTAAAAGTGTATGGTCACAGTCTGAGACACAGTGTGCTTTTTTGTGCAAAGGAAAGGCTGCATTTCCCACTCTCAATATTTCCTACCCTTCTGGATGCTCGTCAGGGCACACAGACAGTGTTTTGTGCCCAGCTTGTTGTGCAGAGCTCGGTTGTATCATGGGGCACCCGAGCTTAGTGCAGAAATTGCTGAGACTCTGGGTTCTGCCCGCATCATCCCAAACCCGCAGGGACAGTGAGGCATTCCTCTCCATAGGGACGAGA